TGGGCTTCAAGAACGGCACATGTGATGAGATCCGCACACATCCCTTCTTCAGCCAACTCAACTGGAGGAAACTAGACGCAGGTCACACACACACACACACACACACACACACACACACAACACACACACACACACACACACACAACTTCAGCACAAATACTGGACGAATCTGAAAGTATTGCAGATATTTGTTTACTATAATAATCTCCAGTGTAGTGTAAGATATATCTGTGATGTACAGATGAATATTCAGCATCATTACTACAGTCTTCAGTGTTCTGCAGATGTCAGTGTGAGGATTTGATGATCTAGAACAGTGTTTCTTAGGAGTCCATAAAGAACCATAGCAGAACTTAAATGAAAGAAAATCAACATAGAAGTGTGAATTAAGCGTTCAGGTGTTGTGTTTGAGAGTTTATTAATCAGGTGTTTGCTCCTGTGTGTTGCACTAGTGTCCTCCACATCTCCTCCTCCTCCTTCTGCTGAGTAATATCTCTAATCATTCAGTGGAGTGATATGAAGCTGCTCTAAACCTGCCGGAACTACTTTAGCTGTGCCTTTATTTGACAATAACCAAACACCTGAGAGTGACCATCAGCCAATCAGAATGAAGCGTTCATCAGCGCCGTGTGTTTTCCTCTGCAGGTATTCTTCCTCCTCCGTTCGTCCCGGACTCTAAGACGGTCTATGCGAAGGATCTAGATGACGTGGGCGCGTTCTCCACGGTGAAGGGTGTCTGTCTGGAGGATGATGATAAGTGTTTCTTCGATGAGTTTGCGTCAGGGAATATCTCCATTCCATGGCAGGAGGAGATGATCGAGACGGGGATCTACGGCGAGCTGAACGTCTGGGGGCCCGGAGGAGCTGTGCCCAATGACCTGCGCCGGGAGTCCATCCTAGAGCAGCCGCCCAAATCCTCCACCTGCAGCGTCTCCTAATGCACTGTAGCAATGCTGGACCCCGCACAGCTCCTTCATGTTGTCCCTGCACTAACCCATCAACAGAACTTAATGGACTCTTTTCACAATTCCAGGTTTCTTATAAGATGATATAATACATGCAGAAATAATAATAATAATAATAATTCAATACATTTATATAGCACTTTACTGGACACTCAAAGTGCTTTACACATTGGGGCGGGATTTATACATATACATGTATTCATTCGTTGTTTGTTCATTCATTCATTTTCTTTTCAGCTTAGTCCCTTTATTAATCAGGGGTCACCACAGCAGAATGAACCGCCAACTTATCCAGCATATGTTTTACACAGCAGATGCCCTTCCAACTGCAACCCATCACTGGGAAACACCCATGCACACTCATTCTCTCTCACACACACACACACACACTACAGACAATTTAGCTTACCCAATTCCACTATACAAAATGTGTTTGGACTGTGGGGGGAACTGGAGCACCTGGAGGGAGAACATGCAAACTCCACAGAGAAACACCAACTGACCCAGCCGGGGATCGAACCAGCGACCTTCTTGCTGTGAGGTGATTGTGCTGCCCACTGCGCCACCGTGCTGCCATTGATACCTTTTTAAAAAATCTAAATATTAAAGGCTTTGAAGTGTTTATGATGAGCGTTAAACATGTCTTGTGAAAAGAGTCCATCATTTTTACAAATATAAGTGAACATGAACATTTAAAACCTTAAGAATTGTGTTGTTTCAACTCATTTTAAATAAGTTCTTTGAAGAGGCAGCAGAAGTGCTTTGTTGAGGGTGCTGCGTGTACCTCCAGCTCATGTCAGGAGACCTTAAAACACAAAAGAAGATATTTTGAAGAATGCTGAAAACATGTAAGCAGGGCTTAATTTGTGCCGGAACACACCGGATCCATCAGTTCCCCCCACTGCTCTCCACTATCGTGCGCAGCGCCTCTCCATCCTCGGGTAACATGCCGGATCCATAACCCCGATCTGTTCCGGGACCTCGCAATTCACAAATGAAGAACTGCATATAACCAGTGACTTCCATAGTAGCAGAAACAAAAACTGTGGAGGTCAGTGGTTACAGGACTTCAGCATTCTTCAAAATATCTTCTTTTGTGTTTAAAAGAACCAAGAAGTTCATAAAGGTTTGGATCCACTCCAGTGCATTTACATTTTAGGGTGAACCATCCCTTTAAGGCAGCGGTGTCTAAAGCTCAGTCCTGGAGGGCCGGTCTCCTGCAGAGTTTAGCTCCAACCTGCTTCAACACACCTGCCAGAATGTTTCTAGTGTATCCAGTAAGAGCTTGATTATCTGCGTCAGGTGTGTTTGATTAGGGTTGGAGCTAAACTCTCCAGCACACTGGCCCTCCAGGACCGAGTGTGTTCTGCGAGTTAATCTGCTGATGTTTTGGAAATCTTCTGATTCTGTTCTGACACAGCGGGTCCTGCTCTGATGATTCTGATTGGGCGATATATGCTTAGCCACGCTCCTTTAACCTGGGGTGCTGAAAAAGTGGTATGGTGCAGTTCGGTATGCCTTTTGACAGTGGAAACGACTATAAAAGCTTTACCGTACCGTACTTTAGCACTCAGTGGAAACGGGCCATTAGTTCGCTGTGAGTGAAAGATGAGAGGCGGAGCTCGAAAATAAACCCGCCCCCTTTTTAATATTTTAATTAAGTTTAAAATGCATTATCATACTTAACAGATTAATGAAAGAAATGCTTTGGGAAACCCTGTGTAACATGATCTGTTTTGTCTATATACACACTTCTGTTCATAATCAAAACTGTAACTGTCTGTTGAATAGAGAATCAGTCTGTCAGGAGTGTTTCTGACTGATGCTTTTAAAACCTCTTGAACTCTTAGTGAATGATTTATTTGCTTTAATTAATGCCTTTACTGATTGTGGTTGGTTTCTTCACACTGAATGCGTGAGAGTGCAGACGGTTGACTGAGTGTCTAGAGACTAGTCAATGCTGTTATCTAACACAAACATGATTTTGAGCACGAGTCGCTTTAAGCAGAGACAGGGGCAGCTCTACTTTTGGAAAAGCCCATTTTTATCATGTACAAAGCTGTAAATGTCTGTAGGTCGCATCGATTGTACACACAAATCTTTTGGGTAATCCTGATAGCTGTCGACATTATGATATTCTAATAAATCTTTTGCCATAAACACTCCTCTGTTGCCTGTGTTTGCTTTATTCTGTGAACATGAGTTTGTAAATTATGATGTTTTGTCCAGATTTAAAATACAAATGTTGATATTTTGGGACTGTTTGGTTATAAATAAGCAAAAATGTTATAAGCCATTGCACTGTTTATATTCAGTTTTAGATAATGCTGATGTGTTAACACTAGAAGTGTTCAGGTTTGGTTTTAAACCCTCATTACTTTTCAATTACAACAAATAAAATAATTTGTTATTATTACCAAGCAGAAAAAAGCTCTAAAAATTATATATGATGACATTTAAATAGTCATTTTCAACACTAATAATAATAATACAGTTTTACTAATGAGACGTTTTTAAAAAAACATTACATTAATTTAAATGATCAAATATTTTTACATAATCAGTTAAATATGAATGTTTATATAAACCTTAGGGTTAAACATATACATAAATGTTTTTTTTCTGTTCTCCAATTTTAATAATAATAATTATAATATGATAAAATAAGCACAACAGTGTTTATTTATTTAATGGGGAACAGATATTTTTCAGCCTGATGGGTAATACAATCTTTTTACTGTTTGATTCTTTAACAAATATATTGCAAAATTCCTACAGACAAAAGATTTTAAGAAACAAACATATCAAAAGAACCTAAAAACACACAAACTAAACATGACACTGCAAAAAAAAATGCTTTTCTTACTTAGATTTTTTGTCTTGTTTCTAGTCCAAATATCTAAAAGTTCTTAAATCGAGCAAAATAATTTGCAATGGGGTCAGCAAAATAATCTTATCACAAATCGAAAAACAAGATTATTTTGCTCACCCCACTGGCAAATTATTTTGCTTGATTTAAGGAAAAACTCAATTCATTTTGGCATATTATTTCTTAAAACAAGACAATATGTTTTGCTTGTCTAGAAAATGCTTCTTGATTTAAGAACTTTTAGATATTTGGTCTAGAAACAAGACAAAAAATATATGCAAGAAAAGCATTTTTTTAATTCATTTTTTTGCAGTGTAACAGCTCTGTCTTTATAATATTTATTAGACGTTAGTAATATTCATGAGGTGAACATGCATATTCAATGAGATCAGCTCGTTTAAATTCTGTTGGGCGGAGTCTCTACTCGGAAACGGGTAAAGTGTAGATGGGATACAGCTGCGGATTCAATATAGCAGATTTTTTGTGATACTGTACAACAATAATTACTGTTTTTACATCATTGTGAGGGTTGGGGTAGAGTTATACTGTTAATAAAATGCATTTAATGGGCTATTTAATAAAATATATAGATAATTCTCGTTATAATCGCTGTTTTCACATTATTCTGAGAGCTGGATTAAGGGTTGGGGTGTTTTAGACGTTATTAAAATACAATTACTGCATAAGACATCATTTTCGTGGGTGACAAGGTGGCTTAGTGGTTAGCACTGTGGCCTCACAGCAAGAAGGTCGCAGGTTCGAGTCTTGGCGGGGTCAGTTGGTGTTTCTGTGTGGAGTTTGCATGTTCTCCCCGTGTTGGCGTGGGTTTTCTCCGGGTGTTCCGGTTTCCCCCACAGTCCAAACACATGCACTATAGGAATTTATTAACTATTGGCCGTAATGTATGTATGGGTGTTTTCCAGTACTGGGTTGCAGCTGGAAGGGCATCCGTTGTGTAAAACATATGCTGGATAAGTTGGCGGTTCATAAGTGGCGACCCCTGGTGAATAAATAGACTAAGCCGATTGAAAATGAATGAATACATTTCTTTGGCTGCAGCTGTATCCCCTCTGAGTGCTTTGTTGTTTCAGCAGGGACCAATGAGCGCGGCTGTTGATCAGCGCATGAGCACAGCTCGCCGTCCAATGGAAAGTCGGTTAGAATTTTAAATCTCACCAGCGCCCAGTCAGTCGGTTAGGCGGAAAGTTAACCGGAGTCCGTTCAGCGTTAATGGAGTGACCGAAAATGACGGAAGAATCCGCGGTAAAAGTGTGCGTCAGGGTCAGGCCTCTGATTAAACGGTAAGAATAATTTCATATTCAAAATCTGGAGGTAAAATTCACTTAAAGCAGTCCGCGGTTATCACTGAAAGACGAGTCGAGGGGTTCGCTAACGCTCCTGACATCGCCTCACGTTTGAATATCTGTTAGTTTGAGTTTCATTTCAGAAACAAGATTAACTTAACTTACTTCTATAAAACTCAGTAAAACAGTTTATTTTTAACTATAACATACTCCTATTGCTGTATTTCGAGCTATTTCTGAGCCATGTTTACAATTATTAACTGACACCATCTTAAGTCTGCATATAGTAAGTTACACTTGTATTGTATTTATCTGTTAGTTTTGCTGTATTTATGTGTTAAATCTATTTCAAAAACTGAATAGAAAGACTACATTGCTTAATAGCTTCATATTGTGCAGTTTGACAGTCTGTCAGTCAACTCATTTGTTCAATTAAAAGAAGATAGTTCACTTAAAATGTAAATTATGTAATTATTACATCCTCCTTCATTTGTTCCAACCCTAATATCCTCTGTTGAACATAATACACACTGAAGAATGCTAGTAAAAAACAACATGCATTGGCTCCCATACTATTTTATGTTCCTGTTATGGATGTCAGTGGCTGAAAATTCTTCATTATATCTTGCTTTGTGCTTAAAATCATAAAGAACATCATAAACTTTAAGAACCCCTTAAGCATGAGTAAAACAGTCGCCTGTAATTGAAGGATAATCTGATGATTTCAGGGAGGCATCTGAGAGCTCGGAGCCGGTTCAGCTCTACTGGAGATCTGATAAACAGGCCATCCATCAGCTGGATGAAGATGGAGCCCAGACCAAGAGCTACAGCTTCGGTGAGTGGAGCTCTAGTGATGGGTAATGGTCTGACACTGACCTAAAATCACTGGTTGATGTTCTGACACTGACTAGAACACTGTTTAATGCTCTGACACTAACTAATACTAGCTCTGGCAATCCAAGTAGTAGAGCACTGGTTAATGATCAGACACTGACTAGTAAGTAAGATGCGTAAATAGAATTTAAGTCTAATGATTTCCAGGTTTGCAAAATGCTTCGGTTTTGGATAAAGTGTTTGAATATAGGGCTGCACGATATATCGTTTCAGTGTGGATATAGCAATGTGATCATTCGCAATAGACACACATTGCAGGATATATGCAACGCTGAGTTTGTATTATAATTTATCATTTGCATGTGTTTTTGATGCTTGTAATCGTATAATGATTTTAAAAGCATTCAGGCATAAGAAATTGTACCATTTGTGACTTTAACAATGATTCATTTTATTGAATTGTTTTTATTTTGATAATTCATTTACTGTCCTTGAACACCGTTAGACCCGAGAAAAACGTTTGATTTTTGTTGTATCTTTTTCTTGATTGTATTTATAGATTGTTATACATGAAAATACCCACAACATGCGTAAATACAGAAATGCACTGCAGATGGCACAGACCACAACGAAAACGTGTTGGGGGTCTCCAAAAAGTTTATAGGTTGTTTGTTAGATTTTATGGAGATGCAAATAGTAAGCATTAATTCATCAATCACTGACTAAACATGCATGAAAATACTCACAACACATGCAAATACAGATATTCACTACAAGTAGCACAGACCACAACGAAAATGTGTCGGGGAACACCAAAAAATGTATAGATTGTTTATTAGATTTTACAGAGATGCACTCCCACTGCAGAATCATCCCACTTCATTTAACATTGTAAATTCTTTCCAGATAAAGGTATTAAGTCACCTGCAGAAATTTTATTCATATTGCAATATATATTTATATATTGCAAAATGATCAATATCACAATGCTGGATTTTTACAATATCATGCAGCCCTACTTAAAATTATAATTGTGTTGTTTCTTTCACAATCTGTCACTAAATAAATATTAATTCAAGATGAAAGGAGACACATTTATGATGAGAAAAAATTATACCAAACTTTCAGTATGGTATCTAACAATTAACATCTGATATTATGTGACTTATTTATTTTTGTATGTGTGTGGAAATATGAAACTTCTCACACATGCAAAGTGCTGAAAAAGTTTTAAAATGGCTTAAATTTGACTTTGGAAACAGTGTAAAATCCCTGTCTAACACTGACTAGAAGAAATTCCTTTTCTTACTTGAAGTCTTGTTTCCAGTCCAAATGTTTTTAAAAAATCTAGACAAGCAAAAAATATTTTCTTGTTTTAATAAATGAAATAATGATGATGTTGATAATATTAATAATAATAATCATCTGCTAATGGGGTAAGCGAAATAATCTTGTTTTTGCATTGAAATAACATTTAGCTTACCCAATTAACAAATTATTTAGCTTGTTTTAATGTAAAGCTCACTTAATTCCTGAAAACAAGACAATATCTTTTCTAGTCTATTTATTATTAAGATAATATTATTATTATCATCATTATTATTATTATTATTATTTGGACTAGAAACAATACAGATTCTAAGTAAGAAAACAATCTTTTGCAGTGTGCTTTGACTTTGGCTAGCAGGTTAATGCGCTGTCCTCGTGTGTTTCAGACCGTGTGTTCAGTGCGGCAGAGTCCACTGCTCAACTCTATCAGGACATCGCGAAGCCTCTGGTCGTGTCTGCAGTTGAAGGTTATAACGGTGAGTCCAGAAATGAAGATTTATTTTTTCCAGCACAGCAAAGCACAGACACACGGGTGATTTACTGAAATGTAGGGTTGAATGATCCAGAGTACAATAACGTGACAAATAAAAATGATAACAGTAGATAAATGAAAGACCTTAAAGACTAAATAGATTTTAAAAGGGTTATTTTTTTCATGAATGTTTCAGGAAAGTTGTTCTGTTTTAAAAAGGCAAGAAAAAAAACACTCCAAGCATATATTATTATACACATGTCTCGTCTTTCATGAGGTCAGATATTTGCCTTCCTTAGTAGCTTTCTGTATCAAATTACACTAGCATGTGTTTTCATCTACAAGGAAAGATTATTAAAGTGAAAAATAATCCTGAAATGCTGTAAATTGCACTGTATTTTGTGTATTTGTATACTGCATATACAGTATACTCTTAAATGTAATTCAATGTATTTTGCACTGTGTTTAGCCTGCACTCAAGCTTTTCCCTCATAATAGCACATGTGCTGCTGGAGATGTGACGATAAAGTTCAGTATAGTAAAGGTTAAAATTAACATGTATTCTGAACTGTTCTGCTAAATATCACACAACCAGTGGTCATTCAGATCAATTTATCTGTGAGGCATGGTAAACGTATTGAATTTTTCAGGCACAATATTTGCCTATGGACAAACGTCTTCTGGAAAGACCTTCACCATGATGGGAAGTGAACACAATCCTGGGGTGATCCCTCTCGCCATGGCTGACGTCTTCAAAACCATTAAAAGTGTAAGCATTGATGGATATTGCTGTCGTAAAAACTGTACACTTTAATTTCTGTGGCACCACTGGAAACAACAGTACTGAGGGCACATTTTATTGTCAAAACAGCTTGATTTTTTTTTTTTTTTTTTTTACCGAAAGGAAAATGCCTTCATTATTTTGGGGTGGGGGAAAATATTGCTACTGCATTGCAATGCATAGATTTGATTTCATTGTACTTTTCTTATACTATTCGGTTGAATATGCATTATATGGTAATGTTGAAGTTTTTTTCTGGTGAGCTGGTTACCTTCAGCATGCAGTAAGCTACATCAAGATATAGATGTCGTATTGTGGAAAAATTGGTGCATTGTGGAAAGATGGAGACAACCTTTATGACAGCTTTCATTAAAGTGAGTTTGTCTGCTTTTTGATGCCGTTGTTGCACCATAGCACTAAAGGTTAAGTGAGAAAGATGCTCTGGGAAATGTTTCTGTGTATGTAAAGCAGATGGGACATCATTTAAATTTGTGAAAAGATAATAAATGGCAATATATTACCCAATATAACACTGTTTAAAATCACAGCAATGTTGTATTGTGTCTAAAGTGACTGGTGATTCCAGCTCCTAGTCATTATGAACAACATCATTATGAAAGTGAAGTGTAGATTATTCCAGTGTTTGTCTATGTTTGTCCAGTGTTTTGACTTGTAATCATTTGGTTTTATGTCAATGGAAATCAACCTTCGCTAAATATCTTTGCGTTTTCCCAGTTTCCAAAGAAGGAGTTTCTCCTGCGCGTGAGCTACATGGAGATCTACAACGAAACGGTCACTGATCTGCTCTGCGACAGCTGGAAAAGAAAACCTCTGGAAATTCGTGAAGGAAACTACGTGAGTCAGATTTCAGTGCATTTGCAGTTTGGATGCGAGTTTATTTCAGCTTTTAATCGACCCGCTCTCCACAGAAAAATGTGTATGTGGCCGATCTGACGGAGGAGCTGGTGACGTCTCCTGAACAAGCCCTGTCCTGGATCACCAAAGGAGAAAGTAAAGCAGCTCTCGTTTCTTTTATTTATTTATTTATTTTACTGTAGTTTCTGTCAGTATTTTATTGTACTCTCACTTGTTTGATAGTGATGGAAATTCTCAGTTTTGTGGCAGTGTTTTTTGTCGCTCATTTCTGCACTCTCACTCCATGATCCGTCATACTTTACCTTGGTTTGCTCCTTGAGGTTTATTACAGCATTTCTTTGCTCATCTTATTCATACAGAAAACCGTCATTATGGGAAAACTAAGATGAACCAGCGGAGCAGCCGCTCTCACACCATTTTCCGCATGGTAAGAGGGGTGATGAGGCGGAGTGTGTTTGTGGTGTGATTTAAGACTCCTTTCTAAAGCTGTGTGTGTGTGTGTGTGTGTGTGTGTGTGTGTGTGTGTGTGTGTGTGTATCAGATATTGGAGAGCCGTGAGAGAAGTGACCCGACGGCTGGTGAAAGCGCTGATGGAGCCATCATAGTGTCACACTTGGTGAGTTCAGAGCAAACCAGCAGCCGTCTGTGTGTGTGTGTGAGAGACCATTAGTTGGTCCTAAATGGCACTATATAGACTGCACTTGTATGCTCAACCATGTAGTGTAGAGTTTAGTGTCATCTGAAATGCTACACTAATGCTTATTGACTAAATGGAAATGTTAACAATTTCCTAGACTATGTTTAACAGTTGTCAAATTAGTGAAATAAATGACCAAACTATTGAGCTCACATGTGTGTAACCACATTAGCCATTAGGAGGCGCTATAAACTCATGTAGAAGAATTTTGTTTGTTCAATCCAAAATAAAGACTGTCTGAAATGCGGTGTAGTATGTCAAAAACAGTATGTGAGTTGAGTTGCATGTCTGAATTCAAAGTATTGTAAAAACAGTAGGCAACTACTCAGATGACCTACTAATTCTGACAAGACTCTGAAATAAACATCCAATGGATGCTATGATATCCCATAATGCACTGCAAGGGAATTCATGAATAGGATTGAAGTGAAAATTTAATAACTTTTCCAGTTAGATTTTATGTAAATAAGTGCATCATGAGAGTATTTAAAGGGCACTTATTTTAAAATAAAAGCAATATTTCAGTACTTGTACTATTTATACTACTTAAGGGTGTGAAGTAGTGTAGAGGTATGCAATTTGGGACTCGCCCCTTGACTGGAGTCATTTAAATAAACCGCATTCATTCTGTTCACTCACTCACTTGTTTCCTGTAGAATTTGGTGGATCTCGCTGGAGCTGAACGTGCCAGTCAAACTGGAGCTGAGGGTAATGATGAGTTTGATTTATTCTTTTAGTCAGATTTGTATGTTCCTTGTTTATTGTTTACATTTATTTTAGTCTAATGTTGTGTTTAATTTTTAATTTTAATAACTTTTCTTGTGGTAATTGTTTCCTTAATTAGATTATCAACATTTATTTTTACAAATCGAAAAAAAGAATTCAATTGGCCAACAATAATTGAAAATATTGTAAGATTTAATTGGAAATAAATAAGATTGTAGCATGAAGTGTTTAAAAAAAATAATGGTGTAAAATTTTCCAAATGTCTATTTTCTGAGCACAGTACGTCTGGAAGCTGCACAGAACTTGAAGCAATCATTCATCACCACATGATTTTATGATCTTGACTGGTGTTGTTGCCTATTCATCACCAGATGGCAGCAGTCTGGCCAAAATATATAAGATCTTATATTGTTACTTTTAATTCACAGAAGTTTCACAGTGTTTATCTCTAGGAAGGTTGTTTGCATATTCAAATAATGGTGAACTGAATAATTTACACAATGCATTTGAACAAAAAAAGTGACTGAACGGCTGAAGAGTGAGCTTTTTGTTTTTGAAAGGTTTGGGAAGGTTTAATATAATTACTAATGGTTGAACATTGTTCCTCTGGTTTCAGGAGCCCGTTTTAAAGAAGGCTGCAATATAAACCGCAGTCTGTTCACACTGGGTCAAGTCATCAAGAAATTATCTGATGAGAGTCAGAAGTGAGTTATTTTAATTACTGCACATGTACCCGTCTGTTACTGTTGCACGTTATTCATTGTCTGCTGGAAACAGGTTTTAAACATTTACACACTTATCTAGATGGAAATTTTTTTATTATTATTCATTTAATAGTTTTTACTGAAGTTTACTTTTTTGCATGCCTATTTTGAGATATATATATATATATATATATATATCCACACTGAATGCCAAGTGTGTGTATATACATAAACACAATTGGCATTGACTGTGGACAGCAAAGTAAGAATTTGATTGTACAGGGAACATGTTCATTGCTCCAAATGACAATAGACACTTTAAATCTTGAATATAATGTAATGATAACGCTCCTGTTTTATCCCAAAGGGGCTTCTTGAATTACAGAGACAGCAAACTTACCAGAATCCTGCAGAACTCTTTAGGCGGTAATGCCAAAACCGTCATCATCTGCACCATCACTCCAGCCACGGTGGACGAGACCGTCAGCACTCTGCAGGTACGAGAGGACAGCACAAATCCTGTCGCAACTTCAAACTGTGCAATTAGCTATGGTTGATTGGTGGATATTATGGGATCAGTTCATCACATAAAAATAGGGTGTTTTTTTGTGCTGAGAAAAAAAAGCATATAAAATAATGAAAACATACACTATATTGCACTGAGTGTGTTTTTACTGTGATTTAAAGTTTGCTAGTGCTGCAAAACGGATGAAGAATGACCCTCATGTCACGGAGGTCTCTGATGAAGGAGCTCTGTTGAGAAGATACAGAAATGAGATTGTGGATCTTAAACGCCGTCTGCAGGAGGTGAGAATGTGCTCTGCATGTCACTCTGCAGCTCTCTCACATTAGCATTCACTCATCATTGTGATTTATGGGATGTGCCATTGTCAGGGACGGACTGTACCTTGTGTTCGTTTCATACAAAAAACAAAACCGGAGAACAATTGTTTATTAAGCCAAAAACATCTGTTTGTAGTTTGTTTAAGAGTAGGGGTTTGAAGCTTTCAGTGGATATATTTCTCCCGTGTTTGAAGCATGTATTGGCTGAGATTCCAGTGTGTTTGCTGACCCCAGAGCATTCATAATGAAGCTGCAGAAACTGTCCTAAACACATGTCTGCACTGAGACCCTCCCCTGGAGAATCCTCACTCTATAGTGATCAATGATTGGCTCCTGCACCAGAATGCAGGACTTTACTAGCCATATTGACTGTTAACACATTTTTCCCATTCAGAACTGTACGAGTGGCTTGTCTTGTGTATTCTAGTGTTTGTCATAACTCAACCCATCCTCTCCTCTCCTCATGTGTTTCACTCCTGACTGCACAGGTTTCGTCTGTGACTCAAACCACAGCGACCGAGCGAGAGTCTCTCTGTCAGCTCCTGCAGGAGAAAGACCAGCTCCAGAGAGAGCAGGAGGACCGCATCAAGAACTTGACCAAGTTACTGGTTACTTCCTCCAACATTGCGCTCATCCCGAAGGTAACAGATGACAGCAGTTTACTCAGAACCTTTGTTTCTTTCTTCTGTTGAACACAAATGAAGATATTTTAAAGAAAGTTGGAAACCTGTAACCATTGACTTCCAGAGTTTTAGTTTTTTTCTACTATGGAAGTCGATGGTTACAAGTTTTCAGCATTCTTCAAAATATCTTAAACTGGTTTGGAAACACTCGAGGATGAGTGAATAGCGAATACATTTTTGCCTGATCTTTCCCTTTAAAGTCAAAGTTTGCAGTGTTTATTTTGGTAGCTCGCGTTATTATTTTAAATGGAATAATCTGTGCGAGGTCATCCACTGACATTTTGTTTTGGTAATCTTAAAGTTTGATCATTTGTGTTACTTTAACTACTGTTAGATGCATGAACGCGCTGTTTATTTTAGGATTATCACTGCTTCATGGTATTTGTTTTGCTTGTAGAGTTTTGATTTGACTTTTGCTTCTTTATACTGAACTCTACTGATATCATGACCTGAAATCCAAACCATGAGAATTCTGCATTGCTGCACCTTTAATCGTCCCTCAGCATTTTCAAACTACATTTTGCCCACACAGAATGGAAAAGCTTATAAAATGTAAGTCTGTATATCTGATGATTGTGTTTTACACCTCAAGGTCCCCAAGCGGAGAGTGACGTGGGGTGGGAAACTGCTGAGATCTGCACATCTGCTGAATGAGGATCTCTGCTCCACTGACATGAGTTTTGCAGAGCCGTACCTCAAGAAGAGGAGAGCGGACTGCTCTCTGGCTGACGTTGGAGAGGGTATGAGCTCAAGGACTTTCATTTATGTACAATTTTTATCATTAGTTGGACATTCTTTAGTAGAGACAGTGCAGTATAATATTGATCCAGTTTAAAGCAGCTGATGCTCCACTCCTTTGCAGCCTTAGTCCTTAGTTAGGTATTTTATACACCACAGTTTCACACGACAAACATCTTTGCTTATATATTCTGTATCCAGTTATATTAGATTTCATTTTTGATCTTAATTTTATGTAATGTTTGTCAAATTGTGTTTATATATATATATATTTATATATTCTGTATAATTGAGATATGAAGTTATTATTGTTATATAATGTTTTATCTATCCTGCCATGGGTTGCTAATGAGGCAATAAATAAACTTAATGTTCTGATCATTACACGAAGATGATATTATATATTGATCAAGAGTTTGTGCTTTTCTTGAATTATATAATACTGTGTTGTAATTTTGTTGTTGTGTTCAGATATGGATGAGTTTGACAGCCGCTTCGACTTCACTGCTATGGAGGAACCCAACATGGACATGGAGATGAGCAGCATCACTGTCCGCAGCTCCTCGGAGGGGTGAGAAAAAGCTCTATTAGGTTTAAAATAGCTCTTATGTCCAGTGTTGTTCATATTTATGATTGTTTATTTATGTAGCATCGTGTTCCTGTGAGACAGAGTTTTATTCCACTGTATGTCCACTTGTAGTGCAATGACAGTAAACCTCATCTTCATTTCCTCTGTTCAGGAGTCATTTTCTGGACTCTCCCCGTGCGAGCGAGCTGATGCAGAAGGTGTCGTCTCTGGAGAGTCAGCTGGAGGCCGAGACTCAGAGCAAACAGATAGCAGAAGAGATGAACGCTGAGCTCCAGATGAAGCTCTCGCATCTGCAGAACATGCTGGAGGCTCAGTCTGCACCATCACACGAGGAGAAAAACACCATCTCTGAGCTGGAGAAGCAGATGGAGGATCTGCAGCGGAGACTGGAGACGGAGGTTCAAGAGAGACAAACCGCTGAGGAGAAGAGCATCTCACTGGAGCTGAAGGTGGCAGAGCTGGAGAAACCATCAGAAGAGCTGCTGCACTCACAGAACACGTGCGAACGGGTACAGCTGCTAATACTACAGCTTATGCAGTGTCTGCCCATCTGCTTTCACTCTGGAACAGCAGTCCATTGACCCTAACTGGGTGAAATATGCTTAGCCACGCCCCTTCCCCAGTATGCTGCGAGTGCAATATGCAGTCTTTTTATTATTTTTTGTTATTACCTGCCTATTATTAAGATATTAAGTGTACATTAGTAGTTATACATAATCTCATTCTGCAACTCAAAACCTAAACCAAACTTCTACCTTATTAATTAAAGGTTTAATAATGTAATCTATTAAGCTAGTAGTGTTTGTTAATGCCAGGAGTTGAGACCTAAGCTAACATTTTACCGAATTTCCTCATGTGTTTTCAGGTCAAGAAAGATCTGGAAGAGGCTATTCAGCTCTGTGAGACTGTTAGTTTCGAGAAAGTGAGTGAACACTTGTATTTCTGACTAGTTTTGCATGACATTAAGACAAGAAATGGCTTTTGAATGCTGTTTTTCTGCCTGTTTTTTTGTGTAGGATGCTGTTATTGCCGAGCGGGACATGATCAAGCACTCGCTGGACATGACGACAGAAGAGCTAGAGAGTCTGAAGGCAGAGAAAGACTCGCTTCAGAAAGAGAAAGACGCTCTGCAGAAAGATAAAGATGCTCTTCAGAAGGACATGGAGGAGAGGAGAGATGCAGATGAGTTTGAGAAGCTGGAGGAGGAGAGCAAGAGGGATTATGAGGTGATTAGATAATTAATTTGGTCAGGATTTAGACAATAGCTCTGTTTACATCCAAAGATTAAAATTTAATTCATAAGCAAAGCTAGATAAAGATTTTTATCTGATCATAATCATCATCATCAGCTGTTCAAACTTAATCACAACATTTTACTAATGCACACACTGGACTTTATTCACTAAATGTGTTTACATCTTAATTCATGCATTTTTTTTGACAGAGAAAATGTTTTTCCTACTCAGTTTTTTGTGGCATTTCAATGAAAATTATCAGCTATTTTGGTGATAATCCAAAATCTGCATAAAGTAAGTTAATGGAAACATGGCTAATATCTCATGCTGAGCTGTTTTATTTGCTCTTCACACAGAGAGAATTAGAGGCTGAAAACAGCAGATTGGAGAAGAATTTAAAACAGTCTGAAGACATGATCCAAAAGCTGAAGGTCTGTTTACACTCTCTTTTTGTTTGTCACATGGATGTCCTGCTCTTAAAAGGATAATTCATCCAATACTGACATTCACTCATCCTTCACTTGTCATAAACCAGTTTTAATTATTTTCTTTAGTTAAACCCAAAGGTAGACATTTAGAAAAATGTTGAAAACCAGTAACCGTTGACTTCCATAGTAGGGAAAACAAATACTATGGAAGTCAGTGGTTTCTGATTTCGTCATGAGTTTCTTTTTTTCGAAAGAATTTTAAGTATAGCTCCGCCCTAAAACACTGATAGCTCCACCTTAAAGCACTTATAGCCCCGCCCTATGTTTACATTTATAGCCCCGCCCTTCAGTCCTGTCATGTGACCTGAAGTGAAGAAAAGTGTTTTTTGAGGAAGAGGGAATGTGATCTAAAGATTGTAATGCAGTGGAAAACCCCCAAAAGTGTTCTGTACTGAACTGTGCTGTATTATGTGGTGGTAAAGTACATCATATATTGTTCTCCACAGGCTGATCTGGCGTTGATGTCCTCAGAGCTTCAGAAGAAAACAGACCTGACCACTGAACTGCAGGGTTTTGTATGTCACTGAATCACTGCACTCATAAAGTAAAATATTGCAATGCACCCCTGCCTGTATTGTTTCTCCTACATTTATGCAATATATTGCATTCTGCAGAGTGGAAAGGACATTGTGCAGGAAGTGACACGTCTGCGCCGCTCTCTGGATGATGCTGAAACCCTCAGTTTGGAGACCAAGAAGGAATGGGCTTTCCTGCGCAGCGAGAACATCTCCCTGAAGGAGAGAGACGTGAGTAGACCAAACATCTGGGAGAACATATTTTATTACAATGAAGGAGTTTAGTTTGCATCTTACCTTCTATATTATTTATGAGGTTGATGTATTTTCACTGTTATAAATCTCTTTATTACTTAATAGTCATGTTTATAAAATGTTTAAGTTTTATCTGTTTTTTTCTCATGACGTATTGCGAGTAGCTGAAATGGCAATAAACTCAACTCTCTCTCTCTCAGGTGACCCTGACTACAGACTATGGAAAGATGGAGGCGGAGGTGAAGATGCTTCAGGACAGGCTGGAGCAGGAGAAATCTCGCTTCAAGAAGATGCAAACGGATCTTCAGAAAGAGCTAATGGGAGCCTTTGATGAAAACACCAAACTCACAGCTTTGATGGATGGAAAAGTGCCAAAGAGTGAGTGCAGTAGTGATGGAGAGAGACTTCATGATCTGAAGCACACATACTCATTTACTCTATAGATCATTCATGTTTCTGCTGTACTATTTATAACCATCTATGAACTTAGCTTATGAGCTAATCTTTACCCTTTATAGTGCACTCATTAGGAAAAAAAAACATAGTTTTTTTATATATATTGTTAGTAATGTCAATGGAGTTAGCATATGATTCTTCACCCAATAAAGTGTGGAACCAGCCTTAAATGCATTTACCCAAATTATTCTACTCAGTATCTCTCATGTCGTCAGGGTCTTAAAGTTTTAAAATCTCCTAAAATTCAAAAACAAAATTATACAGGCCTTAGGTCTTAATTTCACTGAAATATGCTGATGTATACCACTAGAGTTGGCTTGTTTTGACACGTTATTTAAAATATGTGGCTAAGAAATAACAAAATTGGAATTTTTTTGGATGAAGCGAGTAAATCCTTAGTGTTTAACTCTGTACAAGTCTGAAATTTCATTCATCATGGTCCTTAAAATGTATTAAAGTCTTAAATTTGACGTGTGAAACCATTAATATTAAACCACTATATTATGTATTATATCAAAGTTTATGGCTGCACAGCGGCGCAGTGGGTAGCACGATCGCCTCACAGCTAGAAGGTTACTGGTTCGAGCCTCTGCTGGGTCAGTTGGCATTTTTGTATGGAGTTTGCTCCGGTTTCCCCCACAGTCCAAAGACATGAGCTAAAGGGGAATTAACTAAATTGGCCCTAGTGTGTGTTTGAATAAAAGTGTATGAATGTTTCCCAGTGATGGGTTGCAGCTGGAAGGGCATCCACTATGGAAAACATGCTGGATAAGTTGGCGGTTTATTCTGCTGTCGCAACCCCAGATTAATGGAAGGACTAAGCCGAAAAGAAAATGAATTAATCTAAATTTATTTATTGACTCTATTTGTAGTCAGTTTGGACAGAAATGCATATCTCCATATCTCAACTCTCTCCTAAATAGTTGCATTTTTCAAAAGCACATTGCACATTTTATTCTGCTAACTTTTATCAAAAATTACTAAGGATTTTGTAAAAATTTAATAACAAAATTATTATGTCTATTTATTATGTCTTAAAATATTTTAATTTCTTTTTTTTATTACCTAGAAATTGTTCATTATGTGACAAATTCAAAGAGAAATTTAATTAATCGAGTCACAGAGGATTTTAATTTTTTTTTTTGAGCTGTAATCTAAATTGACTATGAAGATGTTTTAATGTTTACTCTACTTATCCTCCTCTATAGATCTGACAGATAATGTTGTGTTGGAGAAAACAGTGTGTGATTTACGTAAGGAGCTTGATCAGATCCGGGAGCGAGAGCAGAGTCTGCAGAGTAAAGTGAGCGAGTTGGAAACACTCCCTGCTAAAGTAGACGAATTACTGGGACAGGTTAGAAGAGCTGCTGCAAATCAGTTTCTGAGTTACTTTTGTGTCTGGATGACTTTATCAGCTCTCTATGGTTTACCCTCAGGTGTGTGTTGTGTCTGAGGAGCTGCGGAGCGTGCGCGAGGAGCGAGACGCTGTGTGTTCTGCTCAGGCCAGTGTGAATGAAGCTCATCAGAGGCTGACAGAGGATTACTCTACAGCTCAGCATCAGCTTCTGCAGATGGAGAGCGATCTGCTGGAGGCGCAGCTGAAGGAAACACAACTGAGCCAAGAGCTGAGCGACAACACACAACAACTGCACAACATGCAGACGGAGAACGACACGCTGCTCACATCACTGCAGGAGGCACAGCAGAAGGTACACACACACACGCATAAACACACACACACACACACGCAGGGGCTGCTCCATTATGGGGAAAATCAGAATCATGATTATTTTGGTCACAGTAGTAATTACGCTTATTTAAATTGATTATCGTGGGCCATATTTAGTTTCTGCACTGTAAATCAGGTTACTATTACACCTGTACATTTCTAACATCCTGACACTTTCACAATTCTCAACACCAAAGCAGAAGCTGGAGAAAGTAAAATCAGCCTAGCAGAAAGTTCACAATGATGGAAAAGAAAAAATACAACAGAATAAAAATACAATCAACACTAATATAACACGTAATTATACTTATTTCAACATTTTACCCTGCTCGTGTGTGTCAGTGTGAGCAGCTGAGCGCTGATCTGGCGTCAGTCTGCGCTGAGAGAGATCTGCTTCTGTCTGAGAAGATGGAGGGAGAGTCTGAGGAGCTGCAGAGTCTGAGAAACACCATCAGCTCCATCACAGAGGAGAAACAGCAGATGCAGGAGATTCTGCAGAGCCTCCGGGAACAGCGGGACCAGCTCAAGACGGACCTGGAGGAGAATGTGGAGATGGTAAGCGCTTACTCATAGAGGGCTGATCATATGGAGTTTCTCTGATGCGGATATTTAGAAATCAGGGCAGTCGATGTGTTTTCCTTCATAAAAATAGACTGGATGCAGATAACTGCTTAAGTTTAACATTTATTGAAAAACAAATGTCTGTTTAATCAGTGCAGTATTGACTTTACAAGCAAGTGTGATTATGACGATGCAGAAATTTAGAATAATATAAGAGGAAAATATCAGATTGCACCATCAAGCAGCATAACGAGCTGTTTTAATGTCTAAATATCAATGGAAGTGAATGACACTGGAAGTTTTGAGCTACAAAGATTCCAATGGCAATGCCTGCTCGTATGTCAAGCTACAAAATTTATCACATTTATTAGCAATCACAAGTAAAAATTGCCTAAGTTAATAAAAATAAACACTTTCACTAACATGTAGATGTAAAGTTATGCCACATGTGACCTCAAACTTCCTTTCTTTGCCTCATATTTGCTCCAGTTTTGTAGGAAGAGATGGTTTTGATTCACATTAGATGGAAACGCTGCTTTATTCTCAAGTATTTGATGTAGTATTCCAGTTTTGCACTTTGTCTATTTTCAAATCAGCCAGATTAATCTGTTGACCTCTAGTTACTCTCACAAACACGATGATCTGATTTGTTTTAAACTCTGTTTATTTCCCTGCAGATGATTGAGACTCAGGCAGAACTGAGAGACGCTCAGGAGAAAGTGAAGGAGCTTCAGGGAGAAATAAACCGTCTGGAGTCTGGGAGAGTGGAGCCGGATGAGCAGCGAGAGGACGGACAGATGGACACGCTGCACCAGCAGGTACATGCCAGTAAAGGAAAACTGAGGTTTATTGCAGAGATGAAACATTTAGTGTTCTGCATTCTGCCTTTCAGTGTTTCTCTCATCTTGTCTTGTTATAAATCCAGTGCACTTCCATTCCTCTAAAGCACAGATCAGTTCATGTGCAGTAAAATGCAGTTTACTGCGAGGTGTGCTTGAAATTAACAAGGGTTATTAAAAATGCATTACACTGCTGATGTTGTGTGTGTGTGTGTGCGCGCTGTCAAATCTGATGTGTGGTGTATTTATGAGATTCATAAAGTCTAAATGTTTTTATTATTTGTTTTACTGTCATTTACTTCACATTTTGTGTTAGCCTGTAGACTTAAATCACAGTTAAACTTTGTTTGTTCAAAGTTTAATCACATCCAGAATACGTTTTTGACACCGTATGTGTGTTAGTGCTACACACATGCATATAAACTATACAAAATCAGTGTTATTATATAGATATTTAGATTTTATTCATGTATAAATATACACATTTTCTCTAATATATGCATGCATGTGTGCATTTGCATATACATAATAAATCTACATATTGCACACATTTTAAAAAGGTTTATTTTATTATGCAATTAATCATGATTGGTCTTTATCACTGGTCTTAATGTTAGTGTATCTTGTTAATGTGCAGATAAAGCAGCTCACAGAGGAGCTGCAGGCCACAGTTGTAGAGAAGGAGCGTCTGCTGTCGGACAGATCTGAGCTAATGGAGAAGATGAACACAGACGTCACATCTTTCACAGAGCAGAGAAGTGAGCTGCAGGAGCGACTGCAGCAGCTGGAGAGAGACAGCGATACTATGAAGACACATCTGGAGGAGAAGGAGCAGACGGTGAGCAGCCTGTACCACAGCAGAGTCAGGACTTGTGTTAGGCTATACAATAATCAGGGTTTTCCACTGCTCCTGGAGTTTTAAAAACAGCTTGCCCATGCTTCCATCCACATATTTTATGCACATTTTGGATTATCACATAATAAATGCTTGATGGAGACACCAAAATGTGCATAACCGAGTAGGATAAACTCTTTATGTGATAATAAAAAGAGACTCTGCTGTAAACACATTTGGTGAATAAACTCTGCATGCGCTTCATCAGTATGCGTGATGTGATGTTGTTTTCATTGATGATGATGATGATGATGTATAAATATGTGTGATGGGGTGCATTATTAGACGAAGCAGTATTGCAGTCATTGTGTTTGTCTGTTCATTTAGATGACCTGGAAATTCAGCTTTTTAGTCAGTGGAAGCCTGATGATTTTTGTATGTTGTAATATTTGTAATGCATGTTTTGTTTTATTTCTCTCCAGATTCTCCAGCTTCAGAGTGAGTTACAGGAGAAACAGCAGCAGCAGATTCTGGACCAAGATCAGCAGGACTTCAGCGAGGAGAAGACTGATGAGCTGCAGCAGGTCAGGGATCTTCATCTTATTACTCTCTTCTACATTGTTATATACGACTGCTTAATCAATTTAATCTGATGTTTAAACCTGTTCTACAGATCCAGACACTGAAGGAAGAGCTTGAGGCTGTGTTAGAGCAGAAAAACCAGCTGACATTGAGGCTTGAAGAGAGCGCTCAGCAGGTCAGACATCAGCCTCAGATCTGGAGCCCAAATCACTCAACATCTCAAGGCTAAAAACTCCTGATTTGCAGATCACATTTTGCAGTGCAAACTTTAGGACTATACAAGCAAAACTCCTATCACTGTAAAACATATTTTACTGGACTGTCTTGCTTTTACTGATTCCAGAAGGACTTTTTATGAAATGAACTCTTTTAAGGACATTTTTGACAAAGTGGAACCAGAAAAGATTTTAGAATTTTTATCATGTATTAACACAAAAAATCTTATTTAATTTATGTTTTATTTTGTTTGTTGATTTTTAAATTGTATATTTATTGTTGAAAGATTCCTGCCATGAAGATAGCCTTGGTTGCTGACATGGCACTAAATAAAAAATACATTACATTACATTACATTACAGGACTATACAAAGTAGTTTAAAAATATAATAATAAAGCATCAGCCTATATAATAATAATTGTCATCAGCCTAATACAGATGTTGACTGTTCACAGGTGTGTGTTGTGTCTGAGGAGCTGCGGAGCGTGCGCGAGGAGCGAGACGCTGTGTGTTCTGCTCAGGCCAGTGTGAGTGAAGCTCATCAGAGGCTGACAGTGGATTACTCTACAGCTCAGCATCAGCTTCTGCAGATGGAGAGCGATCTGCTGGAGGCGCAGCTGAAGGAAACACAACTGAGCCAAGAGCTGAGCGACAACACACAACAACTGCACAACATGCAGACGGAGAACGACACGCTGCTCACATCACTGCAGGAGACACAGCAGAAGGTACACACACATATGCGCATAAACACACACACACGCAGGGGCTGCTCCATTATGGGGAAAATCAGAATCATGATTATTTTGGTCACAGTAGTAATTACGGTTATTTAAATTGATTATCGTGGGCCATATTTAGTTTCTGCACTGTAAATCAGGTTACTATTACACCTGTACATTTCTAACATCCTGACACTTTCACAATTCTCAACACCAAAGCAGAAGCTGGAGAAAGTAAAATCAGCCTAGCAGAAAGTTCACAATGATGGAAAAGAAAAAATACAACAGAATAAAAATACATTCAACACTAATATAACACGTAATTATACCTATTTCAACATTTTACCCTGCTCGTGTGTGTCAGTGTGAGCAGCTGAGCGCTGATCTGGCGTCAGTCTGCGCTGAGAGAGATCTGCTTCTGTCTGAGAAGATGGAGGGAGAGTCTGAGGAGCTGCAGAGTCTGAGAAACACCATCAGCTCCATCACAGAGGAGAAACAGCAGATGCAGGAGATTCTGCAGAGCCTCCGGGAACAGCGGGACCAGCTCAAGGCCGACTTAGAGGACAGTAACGGCATGGTGAATATCCGCTCTTATATACAGTGTTAAAAAAAATCCTCATACCCTGTGAAAATCTCTACCTGTACTTGCATCACACCCTGCTTTCAAAAGAGCTTTGGGATACAGTTGTAGAAAGGCGCAGGTTAGGAGAAGAGGCTACAACAGACAATTCAAAGCCTGATAAAGTTATTTGGATTTTAGGCTTTATGACCAGTAAAGTCATTGTTTCAAAGGCGTATGATGATTTTCTATAAGCGCTCTATGTGATGGTTAAAGGAAGGTGTTTATAGAGTGTTTTTGTCAGCTTATGCAGGCTCAGCTGGAGCACGGCGGCCCACAGATCGACACACCGCATGATGAGCTTCTCCAGCAGGTAAACACCCACACCAGCTCCTCATCTGAGGCTGTATTCACAAAAACATTTAAAGAGACAAGAAACTCTAAGATGTAGACGGTTATATAGTTGAAGTCAGAATTATTCGCCCCCGTTTAATTTTTTTTCCCCAATTTAGCGGAGAGCAAATTTCTTCCAACACATTTCTGCACATAATAGTGTTAATAACTCATCTCTAATAACTGATTTATTTTCTCTTTGTCATGATGACAGTAAAAAATATTAGACTAGATATTCTTCAAGACACTTCTATATAGCTTAAAGGCTTCACTAGGGTAATTAGGATAACTAGGCAGGTTAGGGTAATCAGGCAAGTCATTGTATAATGATGGTTTGTTCTGGAGACTATCGAAACAAAAAATAGCCTAAGGGGGCTAATAATATTGACCTTAAAATGGTGTTTAAAGAATTAAAAACTGCTTTTATTCTAGCCGAAATAAAACAAATAAGAAAAAAAATAAAAATATATAAAAAATAAAAATATATAAAAAATAAAATAAATAAATAAATAAAAATAATAATAAATAAAAAATAAAAAATTTTAAATAAAATTTTTATTTTTATTATTTTATTTAAAAATAAAATAAAAAAATATTATCAGACATACTGTGAAAATGTCCTTGCTCTGATCAACATCATTTGGGAAAAATTTAAAGAAGGAAAAAAAATTAAAGGGGGGCTAATAATACAAACTTCAACTGTATATGTGTGACACACTGCTAAAAACACTAGTAGGAAACCTACATTTCAATATTGAGTAATAATTGGTTATTTGCGTGCGTGCGTGCGTGCGTGCGTGCGTGCGTGCGTGCGTGCGTGCGTGCGTGCGTGCGTGCGTGCGTGCGTGCGTGCGTGCGTGCGTGCGTGCGTGCGTGCGTTGTCAATTTGGGTCTGAGCGCATCACACTGATCATGATTATCATCTCTTAGATTCAGCAGCTGAGAGAGGAGCTGGATGCTACCAATGAGGAGAAGAACCAGCTCAAGTCTGACCTTCAGGAGAATGTGGAGATGGTGAGAGACGAATGTGTTGTGCTAATGTTTTCAATAAAACCAGGTTTTCCTCCAAGTGCTATGAAATTGTCCAGTACTTTTAATATATTGTTTAATATTTTAATATTTACTTCTGCTCAAGTGTATGTTTGATCAAAAATATTATTGCAGTGTAATGTTTGAAAAGTATAGTTTTTTCTGTCATCAAATTTATCATCAATGTTCATTTGATCAAGCAACATTTTGTATTATTGTTAATGTTAAAGGAAAACTGAAAACATGCTCTGATTTTGTGGAGTCTGTGAAATTATATTTAGTTTTTCAGGATTCTTGGAAGAAATTTCCGCGCTTTTAAATGAGCAATGAAGAGTGCTCTAATTATGAGTCTGTCTAATGTAAAAGAAATCATCTTTTTATTTTTATTTTAATGCAGACAATTGAAAATCAGGAGGAGCTGAGAGCAGCCCTTGACAAGGTGAAAGATCTGCAGAAGAGTTTAGAGGAGTTGCAGACTAAACAGCAGGAGTCTAAACACAAGTCACAGCTGGAGCTCCAGGTAGGTCACACTCGCTCATTACTGGCTTTTCAGAAATAAGTAAGAGATGCACAGAATTTTGGGCTACTGAAAATGGCATTCACAGCATGTTACTCAGTGTTCAGCCAGAGTTTTAGTTTGTACATCACTAGTTGTAGTAAATAGCTGCTGTGTGTGTGCAGATGCAGCAGCTGAGAGAGGAGCTGGAGAGCGTGCGTCATGAGCGAGAGCGTCTGCTATCCGAGCATTCACCGAACACACACACTGATGCGGAGCAGATGAAGGCCGACATCACGTCTCTGACGGAGGAGCAAGAGCAACTTCAACGCACACTGCAGGAGCTGCGAGACCAGCTGATGCAGACAGAGCAGACGGTACACTCTCAATGCACCCTTAATGATAATCTGACTGCAGCGTTTGAGCTTCAAATCAGCAGGATAGGGAAAAGGAAACGGATTTAGTCACCACTGTGTACTTCTGATGTACTTTAAAGCTCTTGTGAAGTGCTTGTAAATGAGTTTAGTTTTGTATAATGTAAAATCTGACATGTCCAATCAAATACTAAGAGTAATGTTGTGCCACACCAATTGTTTCTATGCATTCTGCATGGCATCCTTTTTTTCTTTATAGGTTTGTTCAAATTAATTTTCTTATTTATTAATTAATTAATTAATTTAATTCTGATTGTTGAACTGTGTCTCCTCTTAGGTGCTCCAGTTGAGGGCAGATCTGGAGTCTGTGTGTGCAGAGAGAGAGCGTCTGCTGATGGACAGGAGCAGAGATGTGGAGGAGATGGAGAAGATGAGCTGTAGACTGACGGAGGAGAGAGATGCGCTCCAGCAGACCGTACAGCAGCTCTCAGACCAGAGCGAACAGCTGAGGAGAGATCTGGAGGAAAACCAGGACATGGTGAGACTCTCTGCAGATCACATCATCATCATCTTCATCATTTTCATCTCACACGTGTGCTGATCATCAGGGTTCCCGCATTGAATGGGAATTTCTTTTAGGATTTCTGATATCTAAATCCTACAAAAACTGATGAATTTTTCAACATTTGCAGCAATATTTGTGTCTTTTTTTCGTGTTCAAATGTACACATCTTAGTTTTTTTTTTTTTTTTCATTACATTTTTATCCTCACGATCGATTGGTCTATATTTTTTTTACTTGTTAGCCCATGATGTGTTGCCCAACATATGTGCTGAAGATTTGTTTTTTCTTCTGATTGTTAATCTGTGTCTCCTCTTAGGTGCTCCAGTTGAGGGCAGATCTGCAGTCTGTGTGTGCAGAGAGAGAGCGTCTGCTGACGGAGAAGAGCAGTGATATGGAGAACCTGAGCTGTAGACTGACTGAGGAGAGAGATGCGCTCCAGCAGACCGTACAGCAGCTCAAAGACCAGAGCGAACAGCTGAGGAGAGATCTGGAGGAAAACCAGGATATGGTGAGACTCTCTGCAGATCACATCATCATCATCATCTCACCCGTGTGCTGATGATCACTGTTCACATGGCTCATGGTGTTTCTGGAATATCATAGACATTTTTAAAAGTTACAGAATAGAAATTCATGAAGTCAGGGAATTTTTTTAATAATTATTATTGTTGTTTTTATTTATTTTTTGTCCAAGTTATGGAATATCAGGGATTTATTATTATTATTATTATTATTATTATTATTATTATTATTAATAATAATAATAATAATATTATTTTGTCCAAGTTATGGAATATCAGGGATGTATTATTATTATTATTGTTATTAATATTATTAATAATAATAATAATATTTTTGTCCAAGTTATGGAATATCAGGGATTTATTATTATTATTATTATTAGTAGTAGTAGTAGTATTTGTCCAAGTTATGGAATATCAATGATTTATTATTATTATTATTAGTAGTAGTAGTAGTAGTAGTAGTAGTATTTGTCCAAGTTATGGAATATCAATGATTTATTATTATTATTATTAATATTATTATTTGTCCAAGTTATGGAATATCAGGGATGTATTATTATTATTATTATTATTTTGTCCAAGTTATGAAATATCAGGGATTTATTATTATTGCTGTTGTTGTTGTTAGTTTTTTATTTATTGGCCAAGTTAAGGAATAGCCAGGTTTTATTTATACCACTTTATTTATACCATTTATTGATTAATTAATTGTTTTTTTCATCTAAGTTTTGGAATATCAGAGATTTTGTCTGTTTATTATTATTATTATTATTTTACTTCCTGTTTAATAAAATGTATTCTTTCTTAAGTGAAACAGTGGTGTTTACATCTAAGCCCATAATGTGTTGCCCAATATATGCGCTCAGGTTTTAGCTTTTTTCCTTCTTCTGATTGTTGAACTGTATTTCCTCCTCCCAGGTGCTCCAGTTGAGGGCTGATGTTGAGTCGGGCTGTGCTGAGAGAGAGCGTCTGCTGACGGAGAGAGATCAGGATCTGGCCTCCATCACGAAGGAGCGAGAGCAGCTCCTGGACCTCCTAAAGGCCAACCGAGAGGAAAAGAACCAGCTGAGGACAGATCTAGAGGAGAACCAGGAGAATGTGAGTAAATGAACTAGGGCTGAATGATAAATCACGTGTGATTTCATGTGGCAGATACAAATATTAGTCATACACAATCTAAAATAAATGGAAAATTGGTATTACAATGCACCAATTTGCTACTGAAATATTGCAGACAGCCATAATATTATGGCCGTCTCCAGCAGATGATTCACTTATTCAGATAATCCGTTCAGAGTAAGTCTCCAGTAAATGGTTCACGTATCAATAAGCCAGTAGTTAATAGCATGAATTGTGAGCTAAACTAAAGTGTTACTGATGTGTTGATTTTAAACTCCAGCATTCCTGTATATACCCTGTATCACAATATTGCATATGGGAATATTTTCTAACAGCACTAATGGTGTCAGTGAAAGCATCACCCTGATCTCCTTTTTCTGTGCAGCTGCTGCATCTGCGTCAAGAGCTGGAGTCGGTTTCTGCAGAGAAAGATCATCTGGTGTCTGAGATGAGCCGAGAGCAGAAGGAGCATCTAGAGGAGATGAAGACGACTGAAGAAAAGCTCAGCGCTGTGACAGTAGAGAGAGACCAGCTGATGGAGAGCAACACAGAACACAACCAGACGGTAAGAACAGCACAACATCAGCTGCTGAACACTGAGGCTGCGTCTCAGTCAGCTCCATTCACTAGTCACTAGCCTGATCAGGCTGTCAGATGTCTCAATCATGACCATAAGCCTTAAAGGGTCGGTTTCAGAGAGTTAGAAAACCTTATTTGTGTAATATTTTCAGCTCAAACTGAAACACACACTCTAGAGACAGCAGACATGCGTTGCACATCTGGTAAAAAGCATAAGAGTTTTATATATTGCCTTAATGTTTGAGTTTTGCTTGTATTTAAGAATGAAATTTGAATTTAGGGTTTCAGCTCTACTTTGCAGTGGGAGATGTGTGAATTTCCTGTTTGATAAGAGTGTCATCATTGTCAGATTGTGCAGCTGAGAGCGGATCTGCAGTCAGCCTGTGCTGAGAGAGACAGTCTGATGGTGGAGAGAGATCAGTCCAGCTCATGCAGCGCTCTGAGTGACGGAGGAGACCTTCAGGAGATCCTGCAGGGCGTCAGAGAGGTAACACAACACTGATGGTCTGATCTCTCACTAAATCTCTCTTCCGCAGCGAAATGTTAAACACATGCTTTTAAAATTACTTATTTTTTTGTTAAGAGAAAATGTATTTTGTCTGGAGAGATTTTAGAAAAAATAAATAAATAAAAATAAAGATACTTTAAAGTGTGAATCCTTTAAAAAAAGGAATATTTTGTTAAAAGTAAATTTTAAAGTGTGTTTATAGGCTGTCTGCGGAGTCTTTAAAAGTGGATACATCAATGTAGAGAAATTTATGGTCTTTAAAAAGTGTTAAATAGTATTTGGCAAGGTATTAAATTTTATATAATTTTTTATTATGCAATGCTTTGCTGTATGCTAAAGTTTGCCTGAATTAAATCTGCAAATATCAGGATGCTGTGTAGTTTATGAAATCAGTAAAGCCCTGCTAGATTTGACATTATGCTGCATACCAAGGCCACACCATTATTTCTGCAGCTCTACAGGTGCCAACCTGCTGAATTAGCTAGATTTAATTCTTTATTCAGTGTTTATAGAGTTTTATTCCGTGTATGAATAATGTTTGTGTTTTAGATACATTTTTTTTACAATAATATTTAGTTAATATACTGTTAGTTAATCTCGCCAGCGTTTCCTGTTGAAAAGTGGTTATAAGGTCTTAATGTATAAAAAGAGTCTTAACAAAGATCTTAAAAGCTTTTGAATTTTATTCTCTGATTCCTGTTTATTCTCTGATTTAGTTTGTTTTCATCATCATTGTTTTGAAATTGTGAGCACACAAATTGTGTAGAAGGCGATCAGGATACTACAGTGAGCATGAAAAGAAAATATGTGCAATAACCAGAATACAAGAAATTATGAATAATATATGAAAATAATAAAATCACAATAATAACAACAATAAAAAGGGCAATCTACCCTGTTAAACTAAAGATTAAATGACATAAATATAAAAACTACACATTAATAAATAAACACTACAGCTAAAAGTGCAAAAAAGCTGTACTAATGAATGAAATGTTAAGTAAAGGTAATATTAACCTAAATTAAAAGAAAAATCATATAACATTTATTTTATAAAGCACAACAAAAACAACAGGAGTTCACCACTGTGCTGTACAAAATGTCTACAAAAACATATAGTAATAATAGTAATTTAAAAGTTGATGTTCATAGAAAAGATTCTGTTTACTTTATGGATGGTTAAAAGTCTTTGAAATGCCTTTTTATTTTTATGGAAATGTGTTATTTGTTAACTTAATAAGCTCTGTGTGTCCTCCTTCAGCTGATCCAGGTTCAGGGAGAGCTCAAACAGAAGAAGCATCAGCATTCTGATCCGCTCAGTCCGACACACAAGCAGAAAGCTCAGCTCCAGCAGGTACACCACAATGCTGATGCTAATAAAATTATACTTATAGGCTGGATGGAATCAAGAATGTACCCAGTAACACTTTACAATAAGGTTGTTTTAGTTTATGCATTTACTAACATGAACAAACAGTGAGCAATGCATTTAAGCTTGTTAACATTGATGAAAGTAGTTGTTAGTGCATGTTAACTAGCATGAATTAGTATCTTAATAATGCATTAGTAAATGTTGAACTATGATTAATAAATGCTGTACAAGTAAAGGTCATACATGTAAAGTGTGTGTGTGTGTGTTGCAGCTTCAGTCTCTGACCACAGAGATGGAGTCTCTGAGGAATGAGAGGATGGTGCTCAGGAAAGACCTGGAGGACGCGGCTGCAACTGTGAGTCTTCACATCATCACTGTAGAGTCAGCAGATCATGCATGCAGATCTTACATGTTAAGTTTAATTTTTGGGTATCACAATGGTTCATGAGCATGTAGCACTTGGAAAGGACAGTGAGGACTTATATTATGTAAAAAGGCCACTTCCGGGGGTGAGCGCAGTTATTGTTTTGTTTGTGAACTGCCATTGTGGACATGCAATAAAAAGGAGACTAGTTTCTCATTTAGTAAAAATACATAGAGATCATACATGCAGATCTTCATACGACAGCTGTTTGACTGAACGTTTGTTTCCTTCAGTCTAAGATGTATCAGGAGCTGCTGCATGTCAGTAAAGAGGAGCTGAAGCAGCAGCAGAAGGAGAACACAGAGCTCATGGAGCAGAGTTCAGCACGGGAGACGCAGCTCCAGCAGCAGGTCTGTCACACACATTTAATTATTCCGCTTTCAGATGGTTTAAATCTCAATTATGATTACTTTTGCAGTCCATGACACATTTGTATTCAAAACGTTTTTTGTCACGAGGATAGCCAGTGAAAATGACATTAAATAAAGGGATAGGATTTCTTATGTGTGGAGTGAGTGATTCAGTGTTGAATCTCTTCTGTTTCCCCTCAGCTGAATGAGCTGAATGAAGATCTCACTGCTTTAAAAGTGCTGCGAGACCAACACGACACTGAGATTCAGAGGCTGCAGTCAGAGCTGCGTTCACTGAGCAGAGAGAAAGAGGATCTGCTGGAGAAAAGCAGAGCGGAGGGAGAGCTGCTGAGACGGGACCTGCAGACGGTATGCTGATTAATGAACGATCAGATACGTAAATTCTAGCTTACACACATACATACATACACACAGAAAGACCTTTTTAAAAAAGATTGTGATCTAAAATGTACCCATTCATATGTGATTATTTGGTTACGCTTTATTTTAGGGTGTTCTTATTACAGTGTGTAATTATTGATTTAACATCTCAGTTATATAAAGTCATTACACAACACATTTATTGCAGTTATTATAGTAGTAGTTTAATACAACTTCTAGGCAAATGTACAATTAAGAATGTTTGAATATAAAGTAAATATTAAAAAATATATAAAGCACTTTTTTGTTTGCCTAATGATTACATATCTAACATAAAATATTGCAAAATAAAATGCTTTCAAGCTCGCAACCTTCTCACAATGCTGTTATTCACGTTTGTCTGCATCTCCATGGTGGAGTTCGAGATTGTGGTCATCCGAATGAACAAAAAGTGTTACCGTAAACAACATTATGCAACAAAAGATTGAGCTTAATATGAAGCAATAAGACTTTATTTTGCACATGTGATATATGTTGTTCGTTTCTGAATGCGCAGCTCCAGGATCAGCTGGAGAAATCACCCACAGAGCAGCTCCTGCAGTCGCTCACTGAAGAGCGGGATCAGCTCAGACGAGAGCTGCAGGGGAAGATGGAGAAGGTGAGGACTTAATATTACTGCACCGTTAAGGTTTTCCACAACATGGAATTTTAAAAGGTCTATTACAGACATTGAATGTCAGAGGAAGTGCTGTATGCTGTGTGTTTCAGCCACTCACAAACATTGGGTGAACGCTTAATATTGTCAATTCCTTTTACAGCACTGATAATGTAATTTAATTAGTGCTGGGCAAAGATTAATGGTAATGAATCACATTTGAAACGAAGCTTTCTGACATTTTATATATGTGCATTACATATATTTATTATGTATATGTGATGCATGAAAACAAAACTACTATTTTATTACATAAATATTTAAATTTTATATGTAATTTGTATTGAATACAGATTTTATATCTAAATATACATAAATATTTTCTAAAGTATATGCATGTCTGTGTATAGTTATATATATACATGTTAAAAATACTCCGCACACACACTTAAATTGTCAAAACAAATTTCTTTTTGGGATGTGCTTTAATTTGTCTTCCACTAAATGTTATTAAAGGTTAATCAGTTAGATGAATTCAGCATTAATTTATTTGTTCAAGTGTGTAACAAGACTGTTTAAACACAAGTGCCGTCAGGAGCAGCAGACGAGTGCTGAAACTTCTCTAACATCTCCAATATTTGTGTTGCTGTTGTTGTATTTTCCATCAGCTCACACACATCGAGACGAAAGCAGAGCAGCTGGAGAAGCAGAAGATCCTGCTGGAGTCTGAGGTGCACTCGCTCAGCCAGGTGTGTGTGTTTCTACACTACTCAAAGTCATAGTTTTAATGGCATTTAAGGAATTTATTTTTATTATTTATTTTTTGGGGGAGGTTTAGGGTGTTTAAAATAAACAATTCATAGTTTTGAACACCTTTGAACAAATCCTTCAACCTTGTTTTTAAGATGAGTGTGTTTGTGTTTCAGTCTCTCTCTGAGGTGAACTGCAGCGTTTCTCCTGATCAGAATAACACACAGTCCAAACACTTGATAATGGCAGGGATTGAGACGTCAGAGGAGAAGCTGCAGGTAAACGCTGATGTTGAAGATGAAGAGCGTTTCTCTTTCTTTGACCAATAGTCTGACAGTAGCTGTATTTGCTCCTGTGTGCAGACGGCCTTTACAAAGCTCCAGCAGATCATGGAGCGTCCGGTGGACCAGTTATCTGATGTGAACCGTGAGGAATGGGCTGTGCTGTATCAGCTAGTGCCATTTATCCCTAAAGAGCGCAGAACCATCAATGCCACACACACCAAAAAAACAACCCGGCTGAACCACGCCATCATCAAGATTGCTGTAAGAGTCACAAATACACACGAACACGCATATCAATTCAATTAGTAAATAGTCATTTATATGTTATATATATTATACATTTATTATATTACAAATAAATATTTATATGGTGATCTTTAGTTTGTAACGATACATTGACAGTTTACTGCTGCCTCATTATCTGCCTAGTATTAAGATATTTATAACTATTTATTAGCATGATATTTGTCCAATATTGTACAGCCTGACACACACACACACACACACACACACACACACACACAGAGTGAGTTGTTAACCCAGTGTCCTCACAGGAGGCGTACCAGCGGCTGGCGCATCGCTTCCACACACACTTCCAGACAGAGCTCCAGCGAGACGTCTGCTGCTTCCAGGAGTCTCGACTGCAGGATCTGCTGCTCTGCATCTCTCCGGCTCCGTCTCAATCCCTCTGCTCTCTCCAGGACGACTTCCAGCAGCTGTGGGAACAGAGACTCTCACACCTGCTGGAGAAACGCCAGCAATACCTGCAGGTCTGATCAGCTTTATTGATTATTAACAAACGCTGCTGATGATATCTGCTTTGTTCAGTTGTGCACCAAAAACCACTAAAAAAGTCCAAATCCAATCAATTTCAGTATTTGTTGAATGATTTTGTGTTAATGTAAAGCCATCAGTATATAGCAGCAATCATATAAAAAGGCAGATATAGAGGGTTAATAATTACATGGAGGAAATTAGTTTATTTTATTTTAGTTTGGTGTTGTAAAGCTGCTTTATGGAATTTCACATTCAATCATTTATTTATAAAGTGCCTTTAAACCACGAAAGTGCTGTACAAGACGGTTACAATCTGTATGAAGCTATTACAATATGAAACTATTTATTAAAATACATAAATCATGATATCTATAAAGCAATATTATTTCAATTTCCTTCACCGTAAAGCTGTTTTGACATCTGCAGTGTTGAATTGAGTGTGTTTTTGTGTGTTTTGCATGTTGTTCAGAAACTGGAGTGTGTGCTGGTTGTCCTGGAGGAAGGGTTATCCAGATATGCAGAGATGCTGTCGGAGGAGCGTCAGCACAGGACTGAAGAGCTGCAAGAGCTGAAGACTCTGCTCAGATCTGCTCACGCTGATGCTGTCATTGAGCTGCTGGAGAGACAGATCAGCCGGCGGGATAAAGCTGCTGAACGACTCAACACTTACTACTTTGTGAGTAAAACACACTATTATTACAGTGGTTACCAACCTTTTTTAGCCCACGATCCTTAACTTTGGCCTTGCTGAGAGGAAAGATCTACACATACAAAAACCTTGATGGAAAAATAAAGCTGCATTTAATAATAATAATAATAATAATTTTCTTAGACTCAGTCTCAAGCTGGAAATGCAAATAAAACATGGCTATGTAAAAGCTCTAGTTTAACCTACTTTAGACTTTAACTCATTCAATCGAAAAAATCTGTGACAATGCACCTGTATTTTAAGTCTATATTTCAGGATGTAGTAGACCACATTAAATAAAAAATACATTTAACTAATCAGCTAAACATTAAAAATTAAATCAAACTAAAAGTGTGAAAGTCTGTTGATGCTGTTATCACTGCAAATGCAATGTGCATATTTTTAAAAAGCACTCAAAGTTAAAATAATTATTCACTCTATTTTGACATGCACAATATTGATATGGTGGACATTATGACAATATATTGAATTATTGAAAATCTGCATGTGTATTTGAGTGATGATGATGATCAGCTTTTGAATTGATTGGTTCTCAATGTTGTGTGTTTGCATCCGCAGGTTTTGCTGAATAAGTGTGACTCTGAGATCAACCCTCTGAAGTCTTCCTCCTCTGAGTCTGAGCGCCGGCTGGAGGATCAGAGAAGGCAGACGCTGACGCTGCTGAAGGCCCAGAATGGCACACTGCCCAAAACTGAAGCTGAACTCCTGCAGGACAACCAGCATCTGTCCCAGCAGCTCCAGCAAGCACACCGGCATGTGGAGGTAGTAGAGAACGTTCAATGCATAAATATTACAAACATAAACATTTGCTGAGCAGCAAACACCGCAATACTGTATCCCAACAATGCACAGGAGTGCAACAACAAGCAGTTTGACGAGTGTTATTTAACATTTAAATGCAGCCAGTTAGATGCACAGAATACTACACTACTCTATGCTTATGATCTAATTAATACATATTAAACTTCTTTAATGTTCGATAGCACTACTGTTGATGTCCTCAATCTAGCTACCCCTGTTTGTCTGAAGTCATCAGAGAAGGGGTCGGGTGAAAAGTGTATTGATTGTGGAGTGCAATACCTAGATTTATCACTAGGTGTCTCTCACATACTGCACATTTAAACATTTTGTTTCGTCTTGCAGGAAATTCAGGAGCAGATGAAGGAGCTGCAGGTCCAGGCTGATGCTTCAAACCAGAAGCAACATGAAGATCTGCAGGAGCTCCGAGTCCAGCTGATGGAGAAACAGAACCTCGTCCAGAGCCTGGAGGACAAGCTGAGGCACTCTGAGGTGGGTTCATTTCTTTTGTGTCTGTGTGTATTTTTGATGATTAGTTTTTACAGATCTGGCTGCTCCTTAAACTGTTGAGGAGTGAAACCAAAACAAAGCAGACCTACAGTAAACACATTCCAGTTCTGGAGCTCACTACACTGCTAAAAAAAGCTCTTCAAGTTTTGGTCTTGTTTTAAATCAAGAAGCATTTTTTTGTAGACAGAGAAATATATTGTGTTTTAAGTAATAATAGACTAAATTAAGTTAATTTTTTATTAAAACAAGCAAAATAATCCGCCAATGGGGGAAGCAAAATCTTGTTTTCATTTGGCAATAGCATTATTTCACCAACCCCACTGGCTGATTATTTAGCTTGAGACCTTTTTATTAAGTGTCACCTATTATACTTTGAACATCTAAATAAGATAATTACAAAGGGATTATAGAGTAATCTATTATATATATATATATATATATATATATATATATATATATAAAGGCAGTTTTGTTTTTTTATTATCCCTGTTAAAGTATTGGTCGTGTATTGTGCTTAAAGCATTTTATCACGCTAATATATACATTTGATCCATAGTAAGATCATATAATTAAGTGGATGCTTTAGCATCTGTGGGTTTCTCTCAGCATTTATATTTTCCATCTTTCTGAATGCATCTTGCAGGCTTTGGTGAAGAGCAGCATGACTCCAGCCGCTTCTGAACTGGCCGCTCTCAAGGACAAGCTGGTGAAGATGGAGCTGGAGCACATCGCCGTCACCACCAGCCATGAGAAAGAGTATGTGTGCAATTACATCTTCCTGTTCATTTCATAATAAAGTCATAATTTTGGCTTGATGAGGTATTAAAATAAGGAAACAGGAGTTCTGTGTTTAGCTGCTGAGTCGGATGTGATAACCTGGAGTGGAGCAGGAGCCCGTTCTTCTCTCTACTGAGGGTTTTGTATAATCTGGGCATCCACTCCAGGTTTTCTGTTCCTGCTCTCCCAAAAACTGCTCTGTTCACTCAGTTTTACAAGTTATTTATTTCATGAATGCCTGAACACAACATTTATAATACTTTTAATGCTTATTCAACACGTAATTACACAAGCATGTCCAATTGTGCACCTGAAGTGTGTGCATCTCAGTTTGCTGCATGTTAAATGTGTTGCATGCAAGATTTCGACTTTACCAAGGCATAAAAATAAAAACTATAATTGCAGATTTACAATTTAAGAATGTGCTAAGTTAACAAGCATGTTTAACAATAGCTTTTAAAATACACAATCTGGTGATAATAAAGTAGTTTAAAGTATCTCCTATTTAAATAGTATTGGTCTCAGTTATGAAGAGTGTTGATTACATTTACATTCAGTCATTTAGCAGACAATTTTGTCTAAAGCGACTTACAATTGATTCAGTGATTCAAGTTCTGAGTAAATAAAGCAACTGTTAGTGATCAGTGAGTTAAAGAAATGTGTCCTGAATGTAGTGCTTTTCCCACTTTAATCCGTGCAGATCCTGTGCTGTGCTGTTTAATCTGTGTAACATGGTTTTCTGATGTTCTCCTGACAGGATTTCCCAGATGAGCTCCATGCTGGAACACAGAGGAGACGTGATCCGCAAGCTGAAGGAGACCCTGAGGAAGCAGCAGCAGGACGATGAGCAGTCCTGTAAGACCCAGAAACATAACTCCATCATAATGATATTCATAATCTGCACTGTCCATGATCGGTGTACAGGATAAGACTTCAGAATATTTTGAAAGAGAGTAGCACAGCAAATTGTCTTCTTTCCTCTCCAATTTATCTAAATGAAATTTAAACCAAGAAGCATTTTCTAGACAAGCAAAGACAAAATAATCAATAAACGAGCACAATAATCTGCCAGTGGAGTAAGTGTAATTATCTTATTTCAAAATTAAAACATGTTTATTTTTTGACACTGGCAGATTATTTAGTTTGCTTTAAGGAAAATTATTATATAATTTAATATTTTTTATTTCCTAGTTTTTTATGAGTAAAAAAAACAAAGTAAATTTCTATACAGTCTGTAATGTTTTTTTTTTTTTACAAATTACAACGGAAAAAATATTTTTTAATAATTAAATTAATAATTTATATTAATGATATAAAACAGTCCATCCAAACATGCCCCAGATAGAATAAAAATATACATCACAGTTCTACTTGGTTAAACTGAAAACATTAACAGTGGAGTGTGGGAAATGCCCTACTTTCAACTCTTAAAAATAAAGGTACGTAAAGCGGCACCAGATTTTTCACATTTGTTTTTAGAAGTGCCAGTCCTAGAAAAGGTAACTCTTTCAAGCTTGAGATCAGCAGCTAATTTCAGTGAGGTGTTTATGAAGAGTGTGTGGTGCTGTATCTTGATTCTTCAGTGTTGATGTGGTGTGAATGTCTCCTCAGTCACAGACGGAGATGAGTTTGAGCTGAAGACCAGCAGTAGAGCCACCACAACACTGAAGGAGAAGAAGATGGAGGATCTGCAGAAGAAGAACGCTCAGTTTGAGAGGTGAGCACACACACACACACTCACACTCACACACACTCACACACACTGTTCAAATGTGGATGATGATCTGCTAAATGAGTGTTCAGCTCAGCAACATAGAGGAGTCTTGTGTTTATTAACTCTTTATGATGTGAAGAACTCTATAATATGGTCACTTCATTGACATTGATTATAATATATTGTTTGTCATAAGTTCAAAAGTCTTTTATTGACCCCAGTAACACTCCAGGGTTTTCCCAATGAGTGCCATTTCAAGGGTTAATTTAAGATTAGCAGTCTGATTAGCAGTCTGTAGTGCAGCGGTCAGCTCTACATGATCACAGTAATCCGTTTTCCCTCTTGTTCCTGTAGTCTGGTGAGCAAACAGCAGGAGGAGATCAGCAAGTGGAAGAGGAGAGCATACAAGATGAAGGAGAGCAAACGTGATGCTCCCTGCACACCCACCAAACGAGACGCTCCCCGCACACCCACCAAACGGCACCCTGCGCTGGCCGAGACCGAAGTCAACTCACCCAAGAGGAGCGTTCTGGACTCACCCAAGAGCCGCTTCTTTGACCTGCGCTCCAGCGTTCCTCTGTCCCTCAGCCATCACACACAGTTCTTCGACAACTCCAGCCTCGGCACTGTTCCAGGTACACACACACACACACACACCATATACGAACATACATGTATACGCACGCGCACACAGAGAGAGAGAGAGAGCTGCACACAGTGAATGCTGCTGTTTTGATGTCAGAGGTCTCCTGTACACCAGCTGAACCCGCCGCCACCGCTGCAGACTCTTCAGACAGTGATGATGAGGGTAAACACACCTCTGGGTGATCTAATACTGCTGCTGTGTGTCACTAACACACAAATCAATGATAAACCCTCACCTTCATCACTGGAGTGCGGTTCACTCACACTGTTTAATGGAGTCAGTCTGGTTCATTCACTGATGTGCATCATTGGTGTGAGGGTGTTTTAAAGACTATGTTGATCAGGTTTTATCAGTTTCACTGCACTGATCTGGTTTAATAAGCGCACACATGTAATATAATCTTAGTGTGAATTAAACTAGTCCTGCACCACTAGTGGAAGGGGATGTTCATGCATGTTTTGTCAGTAAAGCTGGTTCTAGTAAAGCTCTAGTAATGCTTTCAGAAGAAAGTAAAAAATTTTGTTTTGTTTTTTTAACACGAAGATATTTCACAGAATGCTGAAAACGAGTAACCATTTACTTCCATAGTAGGACAAAATATATTTTGTTTCAGATGACATGTATTTTTATGATATTATTATTATTATATAGTTATTATATTTATTAATATTCTTATTATTATATTTATTATAAATGCATTATTATATTACATAATATTACATTTAATTATTATTATTATTATATGTTTTTTCATTATTATTTATTATTTTGTATTATTATTATTTATTATTATTATAAATGTATTATATATTTTTTCATTATTATATTTATTATTATTTTACAATATTATTATTATTTAATTATTATACATTTATTATTATCGTTATATTTATTATTAATATTACATTTATTATTATTATTGATATACATTTATTATTATTATTAGTATCTTATTTATCATTCTTATTATATATTTATTATTATATAAATTTATATATTATGATTATAATATTCATGTATTTTTATGATATTATTATTATATTTATTTATAATATTACATTTAATTATAATTATATATTTGTTCATTATTATTTATTATTATTATGTATTATTATTGAGTTTTCATTTTTATATTTATTATTATTATCATTATACAATATTATAATTATTATTATTATATAGTTAATATTATATATATATATATTTATACATTTATTATTATTATTTTAATATTTATGTAATTTTATTTTATTAATAAGCATTTATTATTATATTTATTATTATATGTATTTATTATTAGTATATTTATTATATTATCGTTGATGTATTTTGTTTTTTTATTATCATTATCTTTTTCTCAATATGAGAAATAAATTGACAAATCTTCTTGCCAAGTAGCAGTGTTGTATATTGCTGGTATTGTGTAACGCTGTGCTCATGTTGTGTTTGTCAGACTGCAGCTCTAATGCCGCCGTGATGTCGAACGCCGCACACAAAGACGACTGGTGGCAGATTCCTGACGCTTCACCCACAAAGACAGACACTAATGCTTGTCCCACACAGTGAGCGGACGGCTGTTCTGAGATCAGCGCGTCAGTACTACAGTCTGTCTGTCTTTTTAATTGTTTGTATGTTGGCTTTTCTTGTTTATTGTTAATAAAGTTTGTGTTTTTATGTAAATCTGCTGTTTTAAATTGTTTATTAAAACGATAAAATAAAAATAATTCCAGAAGTGCCCTGATGAGGATTTGCTGGGACTATTCTGAAAATAACAACACACTGCCGTCTGTTACTGCCAGAAGTGAGATGTTAGATTAAACATTCAGTTGTAATCCAAACATTTGTCAGAAACGTGAGCCATGCTTGAGTCCCTGTCCTTAACAGTGTAATAAAGGGACCTCCACTACCAACATTGTGTGCTGTTGGGTCATTTTCATCCATGCTGGGTTGATTTTGAGTTTTAATTTGTCCACCGCTTTCTCTGTGTTGCAGCAGATGTGATGATTTCTAATCTTATATTGACTATAGTTTTGGGAACATAAATGCTACAATACACACTCTGTTTAGGCTGACTCCCCTTTGGTGGTGATGCTGCTGTTTTTGCTCCATTGACTTCCATTATAATCACATTTATTGAGTTCAAAGCCATGACAGCATATCATCATGCATTCTTGACCGCTGCTGGTTCTCCCTGCTGGGATTGAGAGGTAAAATCTGCCAGTTTTACTGTGGATCATCAGTGTGCAGCATTAACCCTTTAGATCAGCCTGTGTGGAAGGGTCTCTGGCTTTAATATAGTGTGTAGTGTGTGTGAGAGGGAGAGAACTTTGCACACTTTAATATGTCTGAAAAATCTAAATAAATAATCAAATGAATAAATTTTATTGTGATGTGACAGTTTCGTTCAGGTCAGATCTCAATGATAAACCCCTAGCAACAACTAAAACTTGCCTGAAGACCCCAAAAACCCCTTAGCAACCGTTCATGTTTCATTCTAAAGTTTCCTAAACCAGAGAAAATGAAAAAATCATGTAGTTATTTTCATGTTTAACAGCTTTTTATGTTTAATTTGTGTCCATAAATATTTGTTATTAGATTGAAATGTGCAGCGATGTAAGAGTTTAGATGCGAGTGTAATGCTGTGGACTGTAACCTGCCTCTGCTTCAGTCCATTACCAGTGTCAACACTTCTGGAAGATTTCTCAGACTGATCTGTCAGAGCTGGAACACCCTTCACGGAACATTTACATTTTTGTAATTAAATGAGTTCATTACGAGTCTAATAGACCTCTGTTGTGGAGTGCGCGCGCGCGCGTCTTTTTTCCCTTTGAGTCTGTGTGTGTGTGCGCGTTCTTTCGTACGCCAGCATCAGTTTAGTGTGTGTGTGTGTGTCTTAGTCTTTTTCTTCGTGAGTGTGCGCGCGCTCTCGTGCGTCAGCATCAGGTCAGTCTCGTGCGTGTGCGTGTGTGTGTGAGTGTTTTTCCGCATCAGGTCTTCATGATCATCACTGTGGGAATATAGAAATCCTCTTTATAAACTTTATTTGTGGATTAAACGGAGCTGCAGAAGCGATGCAACAGCAGCAGCCCAGCGCAGACCCCGCCGGTGAGTTATTAATCATCATATATACATAAACACACACACACACACACACCGATCTGTCACTGATGTATCGCAATATACACGTGATTAAAACACAACAAACAACCCATAACCGCTGTCATCTGTTCTTTAATAATGTTAGCTCAGCATTATTAGAGTCAAGTGTTCATATTACACTAAAATATCTGCTAATATTTGCGTTTGTGTTTATTTATCTTGAACTGCATTATGGGATGTTGATCTCTGCTCTGACTGACTTCTGATGCTGAAAACTCCACTCTACAGTTTAATAATGTTCATAAAAGTCACTTTTAAAAAAACTTTTCGAGGTCAATAAAGAGGATGAGGACAGATTAAAGTCTTATAATGCGAGTCAAAAGCAGAAATAATCACAAACTGCTCATTTACAGATTTTATATACAGCAGTTCTGCTTTTAAGACATTCATATGTCATATTTAAAGCGTTTACAACATCCTGAAGTGCAATATCTCTGTAGATCTGGAATAAATAAATAAAATTCCTTCAGAGAACTCAACACATCTCAAACTGTTGTGACTAGACATATTAAAGACCTGAAACGCAACCAGTGTTCCTCCAGTTCCAGTTAATATAAAATATAAATATGCTGGTTAAACTTTGATTATCCAGCTTAACTGTTAATTCTCAACATTGAACAACCCTTATTCTGAGCTCTGCTTTATACACTTATCTACTCTTAACTGCATGTGGGAAATCCATGTAAGAAATACCACATATTTAAAGCATACTGTGGTAAAGAGCTGGAAGCAGTCAGTTGTGGTGATTCTACAGTTGATACGCTACAGTACACTAGTTGTTTGTGTATGTTTTGTGTTTGTGAATATTTGTGTGTGTGTATATTATTGTGTGTGTGCAGATGTGTTCATGAAGCGTCGGCGGACGGCCCTCTGGTGCTCCGTGTCTTTGTTTGCTCTTTCTGTGCTGGTTCTGGTGATCGGGCTGCTGTCGGCCACACACACTGATAATGTGGCCGTTTCTGGATATTATCCTGGCATTATAGTGAGTGAGCAGAAAACTCCACTTCAACACTTCATCAACTCTCTCTGTAGAGCTGTCAGTGTTAAAGCTGACCTAATCTGCCCTGCGTACAAGCTATAAATGCGTCTCTGCTGTCTGTAGAGTGTGTGTTTGAGTGTGAGCTGAGAACAGCACACAGATAATGTTCTCCAGCTCTCTGAAACTGACCCTTTCAGGCCTTGATTGTAATTGTGTCGCTTTAAATTCAAATTAGATTTTCAGAAGAGGGCGGAGCTACAGATGCCTGTGCATCGCCATAGCGACAGATGTAAAACACCACTAGCGTTATCATCATGAAAGGTCAAATGTTGGCAGCCAAACACTCTAATGGCGAATGGACAGACGGCTGCTTCCCACTCAGGGCTGCTGTTTATGCTAATGAGGGAGAGATGGGCACTAGTGGGCGGGGCTTTCCCCCTCTGATGACACGTACAAAGGGAGAAAGTCAATCACAGTGTTTCTGCATCAAAGTTATTGTTTCATGTTATACTGTTCTGTTCTCTTGTGAACGCAGCTGAGTTTTGGATCGTTCCTCAGTGTGGTTGGTCTGAATCTGGTGGAGAACCGCAGGCCGATGGTGAGTAAAGTGTCTCTTTTAGATAAAAATAAACCGTATATCGACTCTCTGACTGACATAAAGCCCTGTCAATACAATTACAGCCAGCGCCGGTTATTTCTGTCCCTGTGAAACATACTTCAGATGATATTTCTCCTGTGAAGTGGCCATCAAGTGGTGTTTTTAGCAGTGAACATGAGGCTCATGCGCTGACAGATCGATTGATGTGATTGGACATGTGCTCAGTAATGCTGAACGGGATTGGCTGACAGATCAGCTGATGCTTTAGATAAATTAGGTTAGCATTGATGATTAGATGAAGCAGATGTCCCAGAAGAACATCACTGGGTTTGAGGAGCCGCATCCTGTCTCCAGACCCTGAACACCGGCCCTTACTGTAACCAATAGGGGGTTACAACATGACAAATCTGTTTGGTGTGGCTTCTAGGGTGACTAATAGGTTCGGCATGGTTTTTAGGGTGTTACAACATGACTACTGTCTTTATTGCTGTTGTTAAGATGTTAAACCATTTTTAATGTGTCAAAGGGTGTTATAACATGACTGGTGATGTGTTCAGTGCTGTTGTTAGGGTGTTACAGTGTAACTAATGCATTCAGTGCTGTTGTTAGGGTGTCACAGTGTAACTAATGCATTCAGTGCTGTTGTTAGGGTGTTACAGTGTAACTAATGCATTTGATGCTGTTGTTAGGGTGTTACAGTGTAACTAATGCATTCAGTGCTGTTGTTAGGGTGTTACAGTGTAACTAATGCATTCAGTGCTGTTGTTAGGGTGTCACAGTGTAACTAATGCATTCAGTGCTGTTGTTAGGGTGTCACAGTGTAACTAATGCATTCAGTGCTGTTGTTAGGGTGTCACAGTGTAACTAATGCATTCAGTGCTGTTGTTAGGGTGTTACAGTGTAACTAATGCATTTGATGCTGTTGTTAGGGTGTTACAGTGTAACTAATGCATTCAATGCTGTTGTTAGGGTGTCACAGTGTAACTAATGCATTCAATGCTGTTGTTAGGGTGTTACAGTGTAACTAATGCATTCAATGCTGTTGTTAGGGTGTCACAGTGTAACTAATGCATTCAATGCTGTTGTTAGGGTGTTACAGTGTAACTAATGCATTCAGTGCTGTTGTTAGGGTGTTACAGTGTAACTAATGCATTCAATGCTGTTGTTAGGGTGTCACAGTGTAACTAATGCATTTGATGCTGTTGTTAGGGTGTTACAGTGTAACTAATGCATTCAGTGCTGTTGTTAGGGTGTTACAGTGTAACTAATGCATTCAGTGCTGTTGTTAGGGTGTTACAGTGTAACTAATGCATTCAGTGCTGTTGTTAGGGTGTCACAGTGTAACTAATGCATTTGATGCTGTTGTTAGGGTGTTACAGTGTAACTAATGCATTCAGTGCTGTTGTTAGGGTGTTACAGTGTAACTAATGCATTCAGTGCTGTTGTTAGGGTGTTACAGTGTAACTAATGCATTCAGTGCTGTTGTTAGGGTGTTACAGTGTAACTAATGCATTTGATGCTGTTGTTAGGGTGTTACAGTGTAACTAATGCATTTGATACTGTTGTTAGGGTGTTGCAGAATTCCTGATGTGTTCTGTGTAGGTGTTAGGGTTACTCTAAGAGGTTCAGTGCTGTTAGATTGTTACAGTGTAACATTAACCTTTAGTGCAGCTTTTAAGTTGTTACAGTGTAGTGCAGTTGTTAGGGAGGGCAGTTGTTCGGGTGTTACAGTGTGACTGATGTCTTTGGTGCAGTTGTCCGGGTATTGCTTTGTGACTGTATTATGTTTTCCTTGAGGTTATTGTGGTGTTCTGTGTGGTTGCTATGGAGCTCTACATTGGAAGGAATGAACAGCATTGTCCTCCATCAAACTGTAGTGACAGCAGTTTATAGCAGCAGAGTGAAATGTTTGACTGGTCTTGAATCAGCTCATTTTTCATGTATAATTGAATCACTCTAATTATAGGATCATTAATCTGTGAGCAGCCAACCGGCTCAATACTGCACATCTGTTGCTCATAAAGTCTAGTGTGCTGTTGCTCAGTGTTTATTTTGATCACTGTTAACAAACATGTGACTGGACAACACACACACACACACACTCCATCAGACCGACACCTGCTTTACCTTGGCAAAGGGAAGTTGTGTGTCTGTAACCATGGTAACATGTGTGATTTAAGCTTCTGTTGTGTCCTGAGCTCTGATCCCAGTACAGCTATTAACATTTAATGAGCACACACACTCATTCACAGAATCAACATGCTCACACTCCATCACACAAGACAGTGCTTATATACATGAACACACACACACACACACACACACACACACACACACACACACACACACACACACACACAGAGTAAAGTGAAGCCAGCGCTCAGATGAACACTGTATTAATGAGCCGCAGGTCGTATCTCTGCAGCTTCAGCTTCTGTTTCCCGGGCGTGCTGTGACCTCTGACCCCCGCAGACTATAGGAAGTGACCAGAACATTGTTCCTGGAGAGTCTGGAGGTCAAACGCTGCAGAATTATGACTGTAATAGAAAGAGCCGCCAAGCAGATGATTCAGGTGTGATAACACTGCATCCTCACCTTCAGCCCTCAGAGAAGCAGATCCTCCAGCGTCATCCATAATGCAGCGCTGTGTGGAGGCCAGAGCAGGTCTCATTCAGAAACACTGCTGGAGCCTCTCCTGTACAGCTCTGAGGGATCTTTAGGATGAGGGAAGATTCTGCTCCTTTACAGTTTCATTATTGGACTCATTCTGTTATTTACGCTCAATAATGTTGGAGGATTAAAGCATCAGAACAACACACACGTAATACAGCTCAGATTTCTTTCCCACATGCATCAGAATAATAATATATCCGGGGCCGCCACAGCGGAATGAACCGCCAACTTATTCAACATATGTTTTATGCAGCATATGCCCTTCCATCCGCAACCCAGTACTGGGAAGCACCCATACACTCCTGCACACACTCTATGATCAATGTTAGCTTTTTCAGTTCCCCTATAGCGCATGTGTTTGGACTGTGGGGGAAACCAGAGCACCTGGAGGAAACCCACACCAACACAGGGAGAACATGCAAACAGAAACACCAACTGACCCAGCCGAGACTCAAACCAGTGAGCTTCTTGCTGTAAGGCGATTGTGCAACCCACTGCGCCTGTATTAGCATATGCATAGTTTAATTGCAGTGTTTTCTGTTCAATAAATAATTCCCATTTCTCAATGATCCACTAAAATATCACTGAGTATAACACAGGTTATTTAACTTCCAAAAATCTTGTCAGCAGCTCAACGTCAAGACCGAAATGCCTGTTATAGTCCCTGCTGTTTGTTTTCAGTTCATGTGCACAGTAAGGAAACAGGTTTCCCTGTACAAGGAGACTCTTACTTTGCCGTCCACAGTGAAGTCATGCACACATCATACACATCATACACATATATACACAGAAGTGACTGAAGTATAACTATCAAATGTGTTTATATAGATATCTATGGATGTAAACCATATATAATACTGATAGTGGAGTGATGTAAACAGATGTAAACAGTGTATGGTAGTTGTTTAAAATTGTGTTTATCATGCAGATAGTGCCTACTGCAACTGGCTTATGTGCAGACAACAGCGTGATGGCCGGAGCAGGTTGAGTGCAGTTGTATGCATTAATAGTGCAAACTCAGACGAAGAGTATAATGTGCCACTGAGCAAGATTTGTCCACTGGTTATCCGTTTAAGAGTCTGATAGCTGATGGGTTCCTGCATCTCACACTCCTGTATCTCCACCCTGAGGGTAGGAGTGTGCATATTCTGTGTTGTGGGGTCTTCCAGGATGGAGGCAGTTCTCTTGTGGACTCTGAGAGGAAGCTGATGATCTTCTCTGCAGTCCTCACCTCTCTCTGCAGACGTTTGTGGTTCTTTACAGTGGCGTTGCCATACCACACAGTTATACAGCTGCTCAGGATGCTCTCAACCACACAGCTGTAGAAGTGGCTGAGGATCTTAGATGACAGACCAAGTTTCCTCAGCTTTCTTAAGAAGTACAGGCGCTGTTGTGCTTTCTTGACCAGCTGGGTGGTGTTCAGTAGGGCTGCCCCCGACTAAAGATATTCCTAGTCGACTAACATTCCTGCATTTTAGCGATTAATCAAATAATCGTTCATTTATGATATTAATATAATAACTTGCGTATATACTAGGAATATAGTCCAAGTTGAAGTTTAACACTTCCACGTGACAGAAAATGCTAAAGCATGATATTAGCGCATTCAAAACGAAAATTAAGCGCTTAAAACGAAATAGTAAAGCGTTTAAATACAGTGCTTACACACAAAAATTAGTGACCAGAACGTTATAGGCTAATTATGACATAAAAACAGCAATCAGACTGCCTGTGCATTTTAATAATTTATTATCAAAAATACAAACTGTAACAGTTACATGTCAAACAAACAAACAAACAAAAAAAAACAGTTTTTAATAAAATAAACAAATTCGTTCTTTAAAATAAATCAAATAAACTTATTAGCAACTTAGGCCTAGTACAAAACTAGGCAAAAAATAAAAATAAATAAATAAATTAATACTGTAGCAAAAACGCAGTTTTTTTTTTAAATACACTGTTTTTAAAATACTTTTTTTTTTAAATACAGTGGAAAATTAAAATTTATATAATTTTTATATTGTTCAAAAGGAAAATTAACAAAAACGAACAAATTAATAAATGCACATTGCACAACGCCAAAACTTAGAATAAAAAAAGAAGGCAGCAAACAAATTAACAGCCTAATTATGATTGAATTGTTTAGAACAACTATATTTACGACAAAATGTGGAACAGATAATTTAAAGAACACTTATACAAATCAAAAATATCAGAGCAAAGCCACAAACTGCCATTAAGACGACGGATGAGTCTTGACCTGAAACAACAAATTCAAAACATCAGACTAATTTTTCTAACAGAATAAAAAACAACTTCTGCATTATATAAAAACGAAAAAATAAAAATATGTATTTATTTATTTGTATAGCCTACCCAATATAAAAATAAAATACCCGTTTTTTTATATATATATATATATAGCCTAACAGATAGCAAACAGAAACACTACAAAAAGGAAATTAAGCATTCTTACCTAAGCTTTCAATTCGATTTAATTTTTTTCATATTATGTGAGAGGAACACCAGCTTGTCCACATTGCTGGGAAGAAGGGAGCTTCTCGACTTGTTCACAATGAAGCCGGCCTTTGAAAACATGCGCTCTGATGGAGTGGATGTGGAAGGGATACAGTGGAGGCGTTTAGGCGTTAGGCGTTGATCTCTCGTTGCTGATGTCATACACTGACTGCGCAGCCCTTGATTGCGTAATTTCACGTGATTTTTTTTTTTTTTGCAACTAACCGACTAATGAAAATGTATTCGACCAAGCCCTCTTCATATCGACTAAAGTTTAGTCGACTATTTGGGGGCAGCCCTAGTGTTCAGTGTCCAGGTGAGGTCCTCACTGATGTGGACCCCCAGGTATTTAAAACTGCTCACTCTCTCCACTTCAAGGATGAACAGTGGCTGATGGGTTCCCCTCTCCTTCCTCATGTCCACTATCATCTCCTCAGTCTTGTCTGTGTTGAGGGTGAGGTAGTTTGTATTATATTTTACAACAGCTTGGAACATGGCTCAACCAATTAGAATCGAAGACCAAACTATTTGCTGCACTTCATAGGTGTTTGTTCTTATAGTATTTTGCAACAGCCAATCAGAATCAAGGACCACACTACCTGTTATAGTCACAAATGTTTGGTTGTAAAGTATCATACAGCAACTCAAAAGGCAGCTCAACCAATCAGAATCAAGGACTAAACTATTAGTTACAGCCTATGGGTGTTTGTTTATAGTGTTTCACAGCAGGTTGGAACATGACTCAACCAATCAGAATCAAGGACCAAACTATCTGTTATAGTCACTAGGGTTTAGTGTTTTTTACAACAGTCAATCAGAATCAAGATCAAGCTCCAAACGAGCAGTTTTATAGAAGTGCTGATTCGTCATGGTGGAGCCTGAAGCAGTGTTAATTAACTGAGTTGTTTCTTCATGGCTGTAGTGAGTTAGCGGAGCTG